TGTTCTTTCAAATTGTGAAGTGTAAAAACTATGGTCTCTTATAAGATCTTGTTCTTTTATTTAGTACTTCTTTCTCTGAAAGGCTGCAATTGCTGTAATTGTGAGGGGGTGACGTGGGGGAGAAGTGGCAGTGGGAAAACAGCTCTGTTGTATTTGATTGCTTCTGAGTTGTACCCATCCCTGCTATTTCTCCTTGTTGAAACTGGTCAATTTGTGGGTTGCCTCGCCAATAGTCAGACAATAGCTTTGCACATTCAAAGGTTCATGCGCTGCTCACAGGACCAACCCAGAGAGTGAAGTGATTGTGTTAGGTGGCAGAGGTGTGTGTTTGTGTGGCTGCCACTCAGCTTCTTCTTCTTCTTCTTCTTCTTCTTCTTCTTCTTTATTTCTACCCTGCCCATCTGGCTGGGTTTCCCCAGCCACTCTGCGTGGCTTCCAACAAAAGATTAAAATAAAATACTATTATCTCTGTTGGAAGCAGAGTGCACCATGCATCCTGCCCTGTATCCCCTAACTAGCCTACTGCCCTCAAGCCCAGTGGAGGACAATGTCCTGTTACCAGCACTGAAATAAGAGGGTGGGGAAGGTGCAGACGTTTCTGTGTTTGTTATCCTTAGTACTTCACAACACATACAATGGTGAAAAGGGCACACACTTTCCTGCTATCAGAGAACTTTGCTTCCCTAAGCAGCTCTCTTCTTCTTCCCTCTCCTCTAAATCCATGTCTTATATATATTCTACTAAGCAAATAATTATTTTAAATGAGACAAAATTCCTGTGTTTCTTAAAGCCAGGAAGTTATGATCAACAGAATAGATAGAGGCACGGTGATGAATCAATCAATGTGCAAATAGGTTCCATTAATTTTCTCATATCTTGTTGCTAACTTAGTCTATTCCAGGTGTCTCTCAGAAAAGCATCCCAGCAGGAGCCTTTTAACTTAATGGAAGTAAGCAGAGGCTGCTCTGTGGGTGATAAGCCGAGTCCCATAGTTGTAATTGTTAACAAAATGTTAGAGAGCTCAGGTGCAGCCCCAGGGAGTAGCTATCCTTCTTCCTAACTAAGCTCAGCGAACTAAGTGGAAGAGGAAGTTCTGCTGATACTCAACTCTCTGACTCAGACTATGGCCAGATTTACAAAAAGGCCAATAAATTAACAATGCATGCAGGACTCGCACCTCTTTGGGACACTGATCTAGCTCTTGGATTTCAGCAGCGATAATTCATCATTCATCATCCTCAGGAATCTATTGTGCTAAATGAGTGGCTGTAGCCTACCTCTAGTTAGCCTCTCACTAACTCCAGCTTTCATGTGTCTAATTTTTTACTAGTTGATTTTTCCTTGCCCCATCACCCTCTGCTTTGTGTGCTTGATTAAGACTTATAGAAGTTCGCCACACTTCAGTGATATTTGGATGGGTTCCAAGAAAGGTATTGCTCAGCTTTGGAGGTTTTTTCTTTTGGACCAACACAGCTACCTTTGCTTTTTAGAACCCACTGTGACCCTGCAGGGGACCCTGGGACATGCCTCTCAGTTAATATGCAGCCTTAGTAGCCATAAAAATATCAGTATCTTAAATAATTGTCTGGGTTGTTTATGCAGTTGAGCCAGCCATGTATAATGATTCCATGAGAGAGGAGTCTTGCCTGAGTGATTCTGAGGTGAGTCAGTTCTTACGTCACATGGCCAACACTTTGTTGTGTATACATCAGTCTTTGTGGCAATGAGCACTGGAAAGTGTGAAGCAAAAAAGCCTGTAGATAATGCATACAGTGCATGGCAGCTGTGGCCTGGCAGAAGTCCATTACTCACCTCTTCCTTCACACGTTTCTCCTTCACACTTTGTGGTGTTTACAATGCAAACATTTGTACACATGTAACAAATGCAATTGCCATGCGTCATGCATTTACTGTAGGTGAAAGCTAGATTAGAAACATGGAGTTGTTGTTCAAACCATATTTTTGGGGGTGTGGGTGTGTGCAAATTGAATCAGTGAGGAAGTGCTGAGAAAGGGAGCATTTACCTCTTCCCATGCCCAGTCTAAATCTACATACCCTTCCTCCCCCATTTGCCTCATGAGGGAAAGCATGCAGGTACATGTATCATGTTGCCTGTATTCTCCCCTCTCCCAGGACAAATAACAGCATTTTTGGAAATGTATTACTTAGATAAATACAAATGCATGTGTTTTTATATTGTAAACCGCCCTGTGATCTTCAGATGAAGGGCACTATGGAAATTTAAAGAAAGTAATAATAGGCCCTCAGGCAGAAGATATAGAAGCATGATTAGTCGCACCAACAGGGTAAAGAACAGCTTCAATCCGTGGGTTGTTAGGCTGCTGAATGAAAAGATAACAACAGGGCAACTGACTTTCGGGTTTGGTGGGTGTGCATCAGTAAACGAGGGGAATTAAGACTAAGAGAGCTGAGTGGGGGGTGCTCGTGTAACCTCACTGTATACAAGTTGTACAAGTGACAATAAAGTATTTCAATTTCAATCTGCCAGTGCCAAATCTCTGATCTGACTCAGCCCCAACCCCCACAGCTGTTTTGAAGTTAAAATATATTTATACCCCCACACATCTTACTTGGTTTCCCCAGCCACTCTGGGCAGCTTCTAACATACAGTATATATAAACATAAAAAAACTTCCCTATAGAGGATTGCCTTCAGACAGCTTTGGGGGTCAGATCATGTCACACCCTCCAACATTTCTCCAATGAAAATAGGGACATCCTAAGAAAAGTGGGACATTCCGTGATCAAATCAGAAACCAGGATGGCTTCTATAAATCAGGGACATCCCTGGGAAATAGGGACACTTGGAGGGTCTGAAATTATCTAACTTAAATCAGCTGATTAGAGAATAACTGTTAGAGCCTGTTGGAGATCAGAGAGATACCTGAAAAGAATGTATTAGAACTCTCTTGCTTCTATGATTGGCTGTTTGCTTGGAAACTTTCAGGATGCAATTGGCCAGATTTAGGCATGATATTGTCTCTCCTCTGTATGATTGCACGAGTTCTTCCCACCCCACCCCCAGCTTCTTCCAAAAGCATTCATGCATTTTAAGAGTGCCAGTGCTTTCTAGGGTGGACTATTTCACACAGTGCTCTTTGTGATAGAACCTGTGACATTTTTAGGAATTTGAAACATGTTCATAGATAAGCCATCTGAATAGTATATCATGTGCTGATCTCTCACAAGCAGCAGCCCTGGCATATTTTCTGCATTCATTTGGATTCATATCTGCAAATCTATTTCTATACACATCTAATCAGTTTGTTTTGCATTTGCTACCAGCTGTACAATACACCCACACCACAGTGCACCATATCCAGCTCTGAATATTATAAAAACACAACCAGATCTTGAACAGTGGCTTTTTGACACTCCCCAAATCCCCTACAGTCAAGAGATATATTAATGGCAATGCTGTTCCTGCAGTGGAATCTCTCTTTTGCGGTCAGAGTTGCTTTTCAAATGAGAGTGCTCCCCCATCCCCAAATCCTACCTTGAATTGCTGAGCCCTGGCCTCACCTGGATTCTGAAGCATCTTCCTTAGCGACAGACTGCCAAAACTGCTTTGCCATTCTGAACTGCTGACTCTGAAAGGAGCTGATGGCTCAGGTTCCAAATTCTATGCTTGTTCACTAGTGGACCTAAAAATATCCCCGGGAGCAGGATGACTGAATTCATGCAACAGCATCTGTTATCCTGGCACCTCTTCAGAGAGTAAAAGCTGAACTGTCAATCTGCAAGAGTAATCAGCCCCCAAAAGAACCTCCTTTCTCTCCCACCCCTAGGGCAGGCGAATACTCCAGCATAGGCTGCATGCACCTGCTACAGGAGGGAAGAGTCTATGGAGAGATTTGTCCTTCAATATTGTTTTATTGTTTTTAATATTCAGTTGGAAGCTGCCCAGAGTGGCTGGGGAAACCCAGCCAGATGAGCGGGGTATAAATAATAAATTATTATTATTATTATTATTATTATTAGTGGAGCAAGTCACTCAGACATGTTGCAAAAGGCAGGTTTTTGCCTAGAGTACACATGTACAAAGGTATAATGCATGTATAAATGTGTGGAGGTCAGCAACAGCAAAACATGTACAAGGCATATGAATTGTTTACATTGGTGTAACGCCTGGTGGTGTTGTGTTACTGCCCTTTGGCAGGAAAGAGTATCTTTGAGGTGGAGGTGTTTGCCTATAGTACTGGATAGACTGTTGGTAGATAGCCGGTGACTCATGCAAAAGAAAGCCTTTGTCTTCACATCCCTTCACTTAGCACCGTGTCTCCTGGGCGCATGCTTCATGTTCCATAATGTTAAAGCACAGGGGGCCAAGCATTACGTCCATGTCTAATTAGCTGGTCCACCACTGCTATTACATTTTAGTCCTGGCTGCATGGATATTTGGGGAGGGAAACAGAGTGAGGAGGGGACAACACTGGGCAGTTGCCTAGCAACAGGAACATCTCATTTTGGGCAGTGCACCTGCTTGGTCAGAAATGGCATGTGAAGAAGTGCTTAGCAGCACACAAGACTTCTGACATCTCACACAAAAGACACAGGAGGCTGCAGGGATGTCTAATGCAAAGGATTCTGTGACAACCTGCTATTTAGCACTGGAAGGTGTGCTAGTCAACTAGGAATAACACCAGGACAACTTTTGGCCTGGCCAGTACTGTGCCTGTAAGGTCAGACATTCTGCTTTCATCTGGCCACCACCTCTCCCCCGTGTTACATGGACAGGGGTTCAAGGGGCCTCTGGAGTGCTAAGGTCAGTTCATGCTGAGTGCCTGCTAGATTAAAAGTGGCACTATATGGTACCACATCAGACCTACCAAGCACCCTGCAGTGTGACATGATGCCCCACTGATGCAGGCAGCAAATCATGAACATCCCTACCTTGATTTATAAATCCACCCAGCCCATAATTTATCCAGCGTTTTAGTTCTTATGGTGCAGAATTTAATGGTATGGAATATTTGCAGCCTACACAATCAAAGTCATTCTTTTAGGATATTGGAGTTGATACAAATTCTGTCCCAGCACAGGAAGGCAAGGTCTGCAAGGTTTCTTCTTCTTCAGCAGTTTCACTATTCCATCCACAACGATCTTGAAAAGTAGTCCTGGCAAAAGGCCTCACAAAAGGGTAGTGGGAGTGAGCATTCAATCTGCCAAGTACTCCTTCCCTAAGAGACATACAAGAAGGCTCACAGCTAATTAAATTGCTTTGTACTCCAATCTGCCTGCCTACGCTCCACCACTCCCCCCTCCCATACAGGCACAGAGCTCTGGCAGAGCAATGTTGCTATGGGACAATGCCCTCCAAGTCTTCAGGGCATTAATTGCTGGCAGGCAGCCTTCCCTGAGGTCTCCTGTGAATCACCACAATTCACAAGGAACAGCTTGCAAGTAAGCCCACTTCTTATTACGTCCCTGAGCTAAGGCCAGACAGGTAACCCAAGAGTGTCTGCAAGCAGCAGAGCATTCATGGCATAGATTAGAAAGCAAATGAATGCTAACAGTTCCCCATAAACACTGTTTGCTGCTGAGGGACTCACTGGGCTCTGGGACTCTTTCATCAGCACACATGAAGATACCCAGGGTGACTTCCTTTATTTATATACCACTTGCATGCCAAAATAGCTCCTGAATCCATTACTATCCACACTTTAGGGAAATGCAGTTTCATAAGTCTGCTTAACCCAAGGTAGCTGCCACACCAGCCAGTATTGTGTTGTGGTTAAAGCGTTGGGCTAGGAACTGGGTTCAAATCTCCACTCAACCATGAAACTCACTGTGTGACCTTGGGCCAGTCGCTGCCTTCAGTTTATCCTACCTCACAGAACTGTTGTGAGGATTAAGTGAGGAGAGAACCATGTACGTCATCTTGAGATCTTTAGAGAAAAAGGTGGGCTACAAATGCAATGACTGATAAATATTGTAAAGAATATATCCAAATAGCATAGCACAAGCTGTACTGAATCTTAGTGGGAGGCCAGAGTTACTAGGGTAGAAGAGAAATCTTAAAATGAAGACATTCAGAGAAGTAAAAAACAAAACAAAACAAAAAACCAGGCATAGTATACCGAGAAAAATTCCCTTCTTCCATGATGGAAATGGTTGTGGGGAGAAGGAAAAATGCTGCTGTGAGCCTGGTCTCCATAGAGCTGCTTTTCCCATTCCCCAATACTCCTGTTATGCTCCAATAAACCAAAGCAAGAGTCAACAACACAGGGAGACACTGAAACTCTTTACAAGTCCACAGAGCTAGAGCATCTTCATTGACTCTCTTCTGGGTGATATGAGCACTGCAAAAACTTGCTCAGGCTTGCTTCCCATATGTGTTGCCATTCCTTATCATTCAGTAGCTATTCATGCTACACAGCACCCAACTGGTTTTATCACATCGGCATTTTGGTAAACAGTGGTTACCCTTTCTTCAACCTGGTTCAATGAAAACTTCATCCATATATTATTTTCATTAGAAAGGAGGGGTAATACCTCTGATGAAAGTCACACTGTGCTCCTTCTGGGGCAGTGTGTCTGCCTCTGGCCCTCATCCTGCCCTCAGCCCTCACCTGTGCCTCCTAGAAGCTGACAGCGGCCACACACACCAGGAACAGCTTCGACTGGCTGGCTGAACCAGGCGTGGGCAGCCAATGGGTCTCAAACCCATGCATGTGAAGACAGGCTGCAACAGATTGAGTGGATGAGACCAATAGTAGGTCCAGCGGTCAAAAAGGTGGTTTCTGCACATGCTGTAGATGGAAATGAGAGGCAGATGGGGCTTGTCAACCTGGGAAAGTAACCCATCTAGGAGAAGCAAAACTCTGATCCTATTCAGGACTACTTCACACACACACATACACACACACACACAGAGAGAGAGAGAGAGAGAGAGAGAGAGAGAGAGAGAGAGAGAAATTGCACCCCCCACCTCAGCCCCAAGACCCATATGAAACCACAGGGCAGTTGTGTCTAGCTATGCTAGAAGCTATTAACAAATCCTGAGTACAGACTCTTGCTTTTTTAAAAAAATTAAACCATTATTGGCTTTTTTTAAAATGTTGATTTTTATTACATTTTGTGTTTCAATTTGAACTCAAAAGGTAGGCTAATAAATTTATTAAAGCACCACAGAGCAGTTGCCAAAAATATATAGAGAGCGCATGCATGACAGGAAGGAGGATTGGGAAAGCAGAATCTGTCTTTGATATTTGTATCTGGCCCCCAAATATTTGCACTTCAGCTCCTCATGCTGCATTGCCTCCAGTTAATTGCTAGCAGCCCAGTGACCCATTTCCCAAACTGTCCACACTCACCAGTTTGAGGAATTTACTATTTATTTGCTTTTGTTGCAAACTGGCAGGTTATTTATTTCTATCCTGGCCTGCTCTGAGAGTATAGAGGACATTTAAAGGAGAGATTTGAAAACAATGGAAGTGAAAGAGCTGGGGCTTCTCCAGACCACTCCCCACATCCTGTTCTATGTCTGAGTGTCTACTAAGAAGAAACACCAAAGAGATGAGTGCAGTTTTAAAAGATCTCACCTCAACTGTAGTGAGCAGAGTTCTCTCCTTCCCAGCCCTGAGCTCCCCTTGCACCTCTTGTTGGCTTTTCCTCATACTTCCGTAGTACAAGCACAGAGAGCTACTGTGCTTGCCTCAATCCAGCCCTGTCTGGGCCTCACACACAAGCTGAGAGGACAAGCCTGACCTTATGTTCATACCCTGGGCAAGTGGCAGGCAGATGCTGTCTTTATGTAGTGACAGCTCCTAGGCCTCCTGCCAGTTCTCACTGTGTTCTACAAGGAGCAGAAAAGGCAGCCCCAGAGCAGGAATATACCCTGGGCAAGATGATAAAACCTTTCATCCTTGCAGCCCTCCTGTTTCTTTAATAATGTCTAGTAATGTCTGGTCATCGGCCCAGTCCCTGTGGAGATTTGGCATGAATGAGGCCAGAGAGGATAAAAACAAAGTGTAGGAAAGATTTATACATAGAAAGATTTAACACACCATACACCAGTTCTTAAGTAGAAGAGGGAAGTCACTGACAGACATCTTCCACATAAGTCATGTGCCAGAAATGAGTTCTCTAGGACATACAGAAGATCTAGACTGCATTAGCAGCAGGTACTGCAACAGGTAAGCTTCGCCCCTAAACCTTTCTGAAAAATGGGTTGAATTTAATGTAGCTAGATCCATGGTATTTCAGCCAAGTGCTTCTGTGACAAACTCATCCCGAAGAGTGGAAGTCACTGGGAGAAGGCTTCAGGTGTAAACAATCCTTGCTCACACCTAAATCACCTAAATCATTTTCTCCCTGTGCTAGTTTTTAGAGGATTTTGGTTTTCTGCAATGACCTTCAATATGTGAAGAACATTTGAGCATCTTCCTCAAAATATGAGCTGGAGTGCTGCAAAACTAGCCAGACAAAGAAAAATTTTGCTGTTCAACTCTCTCACATATTTCCATGGGAATCTTTTTTCAGAAGATTAGCAAATGGTGATGCAACAGCCGCTCAAAATAAGTGAGAGTTCCTTAAGTTCTATCTCCACATGTGTAACTGAAGCAAAAAAGCCACAACCAGCCCTACAACTAGTGCACAATCCTCCACAACTCAATGAACCTTCCAGCACGTACTTTTCCTTCCCCTTTCACTTACCTTTCTAGTACCCCATTCAAACCATGGTTATAGGCACAGATGCAAAAGTTAGAAAGGTCTCCTGGCTTGCATTTCACTAATAAAAGCAGCCAGCAGCCAGAAAAGTTACCCAGAATCATTTCAAAGGAGAATCATGTGGGTAAACCCTAGAGAACAGCATTGTTAGCAGCTACATCTCCCACACCTTTGAGACATGTCAATTACCGGTACTTGCAGCGAAGGGAGTGAATATGAATTTGGCAGATTTTGAAACAGCTCATCTCACATCTCAGTACATGCCAACAGGACTGTGCAGAGTGGGGGGTGGGCAGCTCAGTACACTTGCCCTGGGCTTCAGAGGGGTAAGCTGAGTGGCTCTGCCATCTTATGTAACTGGACTGGCTGCTTTTTTTTGACTTTGTAACTTTTATTATGTAACAAGACTTCTGCCCTAGGCCTCAGGGAAGGGCCTGGAAGCCAAGGACGAGATTTGCCAAATTCAGGTCTGGCTTGAAACTGAATTTGCCTGCCAATTCTCTCCCAAAGAAGCCACAAAAGCACAACCAAACCATCTTACCTTTGAGAAAGTTAAAGTTGTAACTAGTGGCAGAAAGGGCCAACTGTTTCTGCACTCGAAATGATGCACCAAAGTATGCTCACAAACATAATTTCCTGCTGGGCTACATGTATTCATAGTTTCCTCTGCTTTTCAAGGCAAATGCTCAATATTGTAATTTCCTGTTAAGGAAACCAACAGGGCCTCTTACATCTTTATCAAGGCCTCCCCAAGGCTTGCTGTCCTTTCCCCTTTTCAGAAAGTATTGTTGCTTTTCTTGGGAAGGGTGTAGTAAAGTTCCTTCCCCTTCCCAATGTGTGTGTATGTTTGAAAGCATTCTGTAGGGCAGAATTCTCCAGAGATTGTTGGACTACAAGTTAGTCACTTCTGCTACTCTATGGAGAAATTTTTTTCAGGAGAGTTCACCTATCACTTTACAGTTGGAAATATTACCATTGTGCAAATCACATTTATCCCATCCCATCCCACAAGTAAAGGAGGAGGACAGAGAGGAAGAAAGTGTTCCATCCTTTTACCTATATTTTTCATTCTCACTCTTACTGTTCACATTTTATCTGCCTATCATTTTCTGAATTAGGAGCTGTGGGCTTAAAACCGGATGAACTTCCAAAAGTATATTCAAGTGTGCATAAGGCATACCCCTACTGCAGTACATTTATTTTCAGAATATCTGGAATGACCCTTGAAGGTTGGGGGGGGGGGAGGAGAAAAATCAATGATCCAGGGTTATTAAGAGTAAACAGTGACCAAACTACCATGTAACTAGGAAAGATACAAAAGGAAGAACTTGGGATAAGCAATAGAGGTTCCATGATGTAATTAAATACATGAGGCTTACAATGTTAAAGTGTTTCAGATTTAATCAGTTGAGTCTAGTCCAAAATTATATTACTAGATCAGGTTGAAAACAATACATAAAGCTGCCTATCTTGTCTCCATCTCACACTGCCATTCCAAAGCCAGTAAAACTTCAAACAGGTCAGAAATTATTGGAGTCCAATTTAGAGAAGGGTAATAATGACATCATGTATATAATAATAACACTCTGTTCAGCCTGCTCCTTGCTGTTCATGCATCTTAATCAGTTAATTTGTATTTAAAGTAGGGGAGAAGCAAATAACAAGGAGTTTGACTCCTAAAAAGCCTATTAAAATATCAGTACAAATGAGTTCCCACAGTCATTATATAAAATTAATCAATAATTGGCATTTTGGGGGACAGACACCTGCTTTGCTATTTCACTGATCTCCTATGCTGACTAAAATTAAATGCATTTAATTGATCTAAATGAAGCAAGACACACACCCATAATAGTAGTAGAGCAGAATACTTATAGTAAGTTCTGGATAGAATCCTTAGAATTCTCACAAAGTGTGCTGGTTCAGCCACAATGTACTTTACATATTGTCTCCACACAATATAAATTTGTTTTACTTTAACCTGTTGCAATCTATCTTCAGGTTCACCCACAGTCTAGAATAGGAACAGCCATTTCCAGAGACACACATCTTCAACCGCGATATCATTTTAAAAAATATTCAGAAAAGGCCCTGAGCCACAGTATAGCTACAGTTCAAGACTATTTTTATCGGGTGAATTTAAATGCCTTCTAGACTAGTTTTTCCCATAGACAATTTGAAACAAAAGCATAAGGAAAAATCCCCCTTGTATGTTGATAATATTTAAGGTAATGATTCAGTTTCAACGCTGATACAGAAAAGCCCATTATTTCAGTTGAAGCATAACAGTAAATAAGCCATATTTTAAAAAATATGCCAACATAAGGATTTCTGTATATAAACACAATCCTTCCTGAATCAAGATGCAGAAAATGCCAGCTGGGACAGGAAGAGGCTCCTGGGAAAAAGAAAGATAGAAGACTCTGCTTTTCAATATCATACCTGGGGAACCAAAAGAATACTGACCAGAGGGAATCTGTTACCCAAAGCACCAAAAAGTATGCCCACCCAGATAGCTGAGGGAGTGAAAAGCATTCAAGAATATTTGAAGTGTTTCTCCAAAGGCAGATTTATACATTTGGGGAGCTGCCACTCTTCAAAGGACAGTCACAGAAATCAATGAGATGCAATGACTTTTCTAATCTTCCAGTCTGCTGTGTGTATGTACATGTGTGTGCGTTCAGGGATCCCACATACACTGCTTCTGAAGTCACCCCACTCCTAGACTCTCTCAAATAACACACAGAGCAAGTTAATACTGGCTATCAAAATTTATATCCCCCCCCCCGTTATGGGCTGCCTCAGACCACACCAAAATTACAATTAATAAAGGGAGAGAAGAGTCAGAAAAATGCCTGAAGATTGTGTTTGCAAGCTGAAGGAGAATTTGGTCAAATTACATTATAAGAATTTGCAATATATACTGCAAGGCTGATACAGAAGCAGTGGCCTACCCCACAACATAGTCTGTTGTGTAAGAAGGCACTCCATCCCTAAAATTTCCGATACAGCACATCTTTATACAGCAAGAGAAATAGCTGAACAGAGGGCTGTGGCACCACATCCTTTGCCAGAGCAGCCAAATGAACAAGAGGGTACTTTTATCTTCCAAGGTCAGATAAGGGCATGTTCATGATGATATGGCTCTACATACACTACAATAACATATTTATAAAAGTAGCTTGCACTCTCTCTGGAACGTACGTAAAGTTGTCCCCATTGTTGTAAAGCACCAAAGCAGCCCTTTCTCTCTCCCAAAATCATACCCCTTGAACTTCCACACCTTGGATAGGACCAAATACACGAGTTCTGTTGCTACTTTTACCATCTTAGTTTAGGGCAAAACCAGCATAAAGTTCCTAAACAGAAATACCAATAATGCTGACCTTTGCACTTATTTTATAAATACTCAACTTATACTCAAGACACCCCACAAGCTGGAGCCAATGCCAGTGAGATACGCTTACAATTATTTTCCAAGGCATCCTTGCTACATGCCTGCGCCTGACTTCTCGTCTTCCCAGGAGAACCAGGGCCCTGGAATGCCTCCGGTCCTTATTGCCTTAATGAGGGGTACTTCCTGGGATTCTCTTGCCCAAGGAATGCACGTGCTAAATGGCTCCAAACAGTTTCCTATTACATAGGCACATACTATTACAATTAAACGCATGAGTAAATAAGTCTCTGAATATAAAATAGGACAAAAACTTAAATCAAAGGTTCAAGAAGTAGGGACTAAAAGGAGCTAATCAGTTTCACTCTCCCTTCTTCATCCCACTTGGCTCCGTCTGAGAGAGGTGATGCTGAAAAAACACGTGCTCATGACAAAAACAGGGTTATAAATATAAAAAGGAATTAATTGTCAAGCACCAGTGACATCGCCAGCTTTGTGCAGGCATGGTGAGCTGGGAAACACACCCTGAACCAGACAGTTAATCCAGGAAAAAGCAGGGGGTTCATCCATAGCACTGCAGCTGTCTGTTGCTCCCTGGGGTTGTATTAAGAAGATTTTCCTCTGGTAGAGAATAGTTTGTACTTCAAAAAGAAACTCACTGCCAAAAGTGAAGCCATCAAGCTGGTGTGAGCCAAATGGTTCAGGAAGTCAGAGAATTTAGTGCTCCCAAATTCTAGACTTAGAGTCTGCCAGTAAAGTTGAATCCATCCTATTACTTGACAACCACCTTCAAGGTGCTGCAGAATCAGGTAAGTTTGTTTCATTATTATTTTTTTAAAAAACCTGGATGTAAAGACAGTCTGTTTGGCCTCTGCTGTGCTGGAGTGCTAGGATCCACCTGGAGGTGGTCACCGCAATTCTGTTGCCAGCTACTACTCCACTACTACTCCATAATGGCCCGGTACAGTGCAGGCTCAATGTAATCTTCACGGTAGCGTGAATTGATGACCCTCTGTCTTTTTCTTTCTTGTTTGACCTCCTTCTCTGTGAAGATCTCTGTGAAGCGCATGTCAGATGCAACAGACTGTGGGAGAGAAATCAACCAAAATAGTTACTATGAGAATGGCATTCATGTTCTGCATTAGAGGTGGCCCAGCTGATCCCCACAAACAGGTGATCAATTGGGCTTTCAATTTCAGGACTTTTAAATGGCAGCTTTTGAAGCATCAGTTCAGTTTGCCAGTCATTAAAATAAAATTAGGGCTAGTTACAAGGGATTTTACAATGTTTTCAGAAGATCCACGATCACTGTTTAAAATCAAGGATTGCACCTTGCAGGGATATCGTGCCCCCCTCATCATAAATTAATAATTAAAATGCACCTATGCTCATAGCTACATGAAATGAACCATCTCAGGCACATAAAGGTCTGAGTTATAACTTTACTTCTCTGTGAAAAGAACTATATGGATCAGCCTCCCCTGCTCCTTGACTCACCAGCCTTGACTTGACCCTCTTAGGAAGTTCTTCATTAAGAGTGTACACATCATCCCTCTTTGCCATCAGCTGGGAGCCATCCTCAAATTCCACCTACATCCAGAAAAATCAGGCAACTGTCAAGTGAGCACAGTAACCCATGCCTTCCTGAGTTCAGGATAATGTCCATCTTACCATCTGTCCCCTCATGGCTTCTGCATTTGTTGAACTGATGCTGAGAAACAAACACTGAATCTGCATATATGCCCTCAAGAGACATCAGGGTGGGAAAGGTGAAAGACAGGCTAACAGCAAGAGAGGGGACTGCGAAGGGACTTGGACAGATATTTAGAATCACAGCACACAACCACAATTAAAGCAAGTCAAATTTCAAATGCTCAGCTCAACCAGTGCTCCTTAACTATGGCCAAGCTACAGCCTAGATGCCATCTGCCACTTGTACAACTGATAAATAAGTTTGTGAATTGAGCAGAAGTAGTAGACCTCCAAGTTAGTAAGCCATCGGGGGGGGGGGGAACTCATACAAAAAGACAGGGGAGACAGAAGATAGAGGTATAATCCCTTCTCACTCAGTCCTTACCTGGTACATCTGAATAACATGCGAAGCCACAAATGTAGCTCCATAAACTTGGCCGTCTGTCCATCTCACTTGAACAACTTCACCTCCAGCTGGAGGACCCATTTGGAGACAATCTTGACTCTGTCATGTGGGATAATTTTTTGAAAAAGATAAACATTATCTATTTACAAATGGGAAGAATAAATATTGCCGACTATCCAACCCACTCTGGAGAGAGTTACCAGTTGAGTGGATGAATGGGGGTTGAGGAGGCATCAGACCTTTCATTAAGTGGAATTACTGCTCTCTCTTAGTTGCTGTTATGAATGAAACTTGTGTTACACATAGAGCATTGATGCCTTAAATTGGCAGCTGTTTACACTTCAAATCTGGTGCTACAACTACACAGCTGTTCTACAGCATGGAACAAGTCGTGGCTAATTCATCTCTGTAGATACCTGTCTATGACCCTATTTTTTCTCAATAATACATGTAAAGGTTTAACAATAAAAAACAAAGAACACTTTATCCTTGGTGTTTCAGATATGTGCTCCTACCACAGCTGGTGTTATCTGGCATCCTTTAAAAAAAATGATGCTAAAAGTACAAAAATGCCAAGGAGGAGGAAATGGAAAATATTTGTAATAAAGCAGTCAGGCATTTTAAGTGCTCCATTTAGAGTCTACATCCTACAGCCCAAAGTGATACGCTGAGCCCTGTTCAGGTGCTTTAGAGATTTGTCCCACTTCAATGAACACTAATACTTCAGCAATGTGAACTGAGATGCAATATGAACATTCAGGAAGGCATTTCCTTAAACTATACACCCTCTAGTGGAATGGCTCTTTCATTACATAGCATACCACAATGTCTTCTGGGTATAAGTTGTCACTGAAGGAGCCATCATCAAAGTTGACCTCATAAAAGGTTTCCTTGGTCAGATTGACCACTTCACATTGGTAGAAACGCCCGTTCTTGTGCTTGCTGATCACTGCTTGCCCCACGGTAAGATCCTGAAGAGCAGCCTTGGCTCGCTGAAGAAAAAAGAAGAGCCATAGTCAAGATAAATAAAACTTCCAAGCTTATGGACCACTGATCAGGGAGCGAAGCACTTCCAATGCATTTTATGTCCAGGAAGGGTAAGATAACTTGCCCAAAGCTGTCAATTAACACAGAGCCCTAAAATGATATGCTCCTCCACTGAACAAAGGAGATCACTGTTTCCCCTCCCAAGCGCTATGTGTTTTGCTGGTGCTGCATGTCTTTAGATTCCTAACTATTTTCATCCCTGTATGGATATGCAAATGACTTTAACAGTTAAACCAAATCTAACAGCCTCCATGACCTTACCTCTGCCTGGGATGGAATCTTGTGCCTGAAACAAGTAATGAAGACCACAAAAGGCCAATCATCCGGTTGCATCACGACTCCAGCTGCCTGAGCACAGCTGACATGGAAGGATGTAGGACAGCGGCCATGAGAGCACTGCACGCAACAGCCAGCAGTTCTTTTCCGCCTCTTCTTGCAAAAAACACATTTCTGTGAACAAACCAGTTTAGGGTCAACAGATTCAAGGAACATGACAACCAGAAAGGACAGTGAGCCATATCAGCTTCAAATCTGGCTTGGATGCTACAGTTTTAAAGTTGAGGTACTGAAAGAAGCACACTTTATATAGGACTGATTTAGAAATATTGAGACAGTTTTTCAAATGTTGTGGATATCTCCAAATTCCAAATAAATGTTAACCATTTGCATCTTATGCTTACCTATGTATGTGAGCTTTGTAATACATCAACTTTTGTTCAAGGGTTTGTCACAAAAATGGATGGACCATTAAACTCCTCATGAATCATTTTTATTGGCTTATCAATTAGTTGTCCCTCCCTGGCAGTCTCCTCACAATTCTTACAGGGCTTTCCCTGTAATAATTTGCTGAGAAATTATCAAGAATGGTGCCTCCAATATCCCTGCTGCTCTCATGTCATATCTGATATGCCCAAAAGTCTAATACCCAAATGAGAAAGAACAAGCATCTCATTTAGAGCACAGGGCTTTGAACTAGTACATAAACAAGAGTGCCAACCTAGCTGTACAACATCAGCTGAAAAACATGAAATACCTGACAACAGAAGCAGGTTATTCACAATATAAGATAAATGGGCAACTGTTAATGGACTGATAATACCCATTCTAACAGTACAGTAATATGAAAGACTGAGATGAAGGCATGGTGGGAACAAAACACAAAGGCTTTTCCAAAGCATAAATAAAAACAAGTCATGAATTATGTTCATATCACCACACTACCCTGAAAACAGCAGACTAAATTTGAGATATATTTTGAGTGAGTGAGAGGGAGCTACTGTAATATCAAGAGGGTAGCAGGAAAATCTCTTACGGAGAAGTGTGACTAAGTTATCAATGCTGTCCCCACCTTTGCCTCTGCTTATCCAGTCTCAAAAGTTGTGAAAGTGTAGGAGACCTGAAGCCCTGACAGTATGTCATTTATCTGGCTCAAGTTTCCATGTGTTTTTATCTTGTATTTTATCTTGTGAACTGCCCGAAGATCGTTTGATGAATAGCAATATATATATTTTAATAATGATAATGATGATGACAGACTCTTGAGCTAGGCAGGGACCCTTGTATTCCATAAAAAACTACAGCTGGATTTTACTTGCTGTGTCCTTAGCCAACTGCCAGTGAATAGCTTATTCATTCATCTTTACTACAAAAATGAGAAATGAATGCTTATCCCTGGTCCTCTCCCTAATCAATTACTGGTCTCCTTTCACAGAAAGGAGGTATAACAATTACTATCTCAGTAGAAAAGAACATCTTTTTTCCTTCACAATTTGTTCTCTGAATTTTCCTATGCTCTTAAAAAAAGAAGTCATCTGCATTCTTTCAAGTGAGAAGTAGATGAGAGGTTTGGGTTCAAATGTAATAAATTCCTATTTTCAATAGGTCTGTCAGTTCTGATTTGTGTTTTATATTTCATTTTTAAAATGTCAATGCACTTACTGATCTCCATCAAGTAAATAAAGTACTGCACTTTCCACAAATGAACACTGATATTCTAGAACCCTGTGAAGAATAATAATAGAGAACTCATGCTGTTTAGTTAGCTGCAGGTAGTCTATGCCATATTGCTTTGTAAATTTCCCCTGCTATGCTCAAGGTAATTTACAACAAAATGCAATGCAACACTGCTTGCTGATGAAAAGGGCTGTTAACCGCACACCATACATAGGATGCAGGAGAATAATGGCCCATTTCCTTGGGATAGTTTACTTTCCCCATCTTTCTCTGCAGCATAAGTAGTCTGCTCTCTCATTATAATGCAACTGGTGTGTTCAACCTGACACTGATATGACCAATGCTGTTGGCATTTCAGTGCCCTCTAATCTCTTGTATCTAGTAGGCTTTTGGGTCTCTCAACCCCTCATAATTACACATCTAGGAAAAATGTGTCCATCTTGCAGGCAGGAGCAAGGTGAATACTTTTGACTAAAAGTTGCTGGGAAGGGCTTTGGAATTAGTAGTTTCATGGGAAAAGAGCAGGATGTAAATGCAGAAAACAAATAGTTATAGCTATTAGGCAAGCTATAATTTCAGCTTTAAGTTGCTATCTGCAACATAATACAACATAATTAACTTATAGGGCTGCTGTACAGATCACTGGAACAACATATACGAAGTGCTTAGAAGGCACAGTATACAGGTTATGTGTTCTACTTTACACCTGTACAATTGCTTCTGCTTCTAATCTCACTCCAGATTCACTTATCTTATTGGTCTGAACAACCTTATTTTACATCCTTTGTAAGAATGTTGATGGAAGAATAATCAAAACGCATATGCTGGGAATACTGATCACTTCAAAGGAACAAAACAATCTGCCTTCTTACCAGCCGGAAGCGCTGCAGTGGTATTTTACTGACATCCACTGGACTGCGTTCTGCGATGTTCACAAACTTAGCCTCCAGAACTGCCACAGCACACATAACATGAACCCACCTGAACAACATCAGAAGATGGAGTGTTAACACATGCTTATAAAAGATGGGCTGCAGGAGATGATGCATCTGAAACCAACAAACCTACACCCACCCCTGCCTTGTACAAAGGTTAGGTAAGCAAATGTGCTTCCTCACAACCCACTTTGCACCAAACAGGAACTCATAATTCCCATATCTGTTGCTTCAAATTAAGTGAATTATTGACACATTTTAGGAAAAAAGACCTTCCATATTCGGTTACCCAGGTAAAAGGTAAAGATAAAGGAATCCCTGACAGTTAGGTCCAGTTGCGAACAACTCTGGGGTTGCGGTGCTCATCTCACTTTACTGGCCAAGGGAGCCGGCATTGGTCCGCAGACAGTTTTTCTGGGTCATGTGGCCAGCATGACTAAGCCGCTTCTGGCGAAACCAGAGCAGTGCACGGAAACGCTGTTTACCTTCCCGCCACAGTGGTACCTATTTATCTACTTGCACTGGTGTGCTTTCGAACTGCTAGGTTGGCAGGAGCTGGGACCAAGCAACGGGAGCTCATCCTGTCGTGGGGATTCAAACCGCCAACCTTCCCTAGGCTCAGTGGTTTAGACCACAGCGCCACCTGCATCCCTTCCATATTCAGTTACCCAAGTACTCACTTGTTATCATTGGCTTTTTGAAGTGCACCTCCCCGAAGTGAGCACAAACAGCAATCCTGACAGGTAAGAAAAAAAGCCACGTTACCAAAACAGAAGAAATGAAGAAATTCTCACTTTCATCCTTGTGACAGAACCTTCCTATCTCTCTCAAACACACAAAATGCTCAGTCCTGCAGATTGTACAAGCTTATCTCTCTTTTTATTGCATTAACCACTTTTGTCAAGCTAGCATACTAAAGCGGAAGAGAATTCAAACCAATTCTACTAGAAACCTGCAGAAATGAAGGGCTTAACATATGCCTCATGCTGGGCAGAATGCACTCAATGGGGTTGAGTTCTAGAACAAATGAAGAGGAAGTCCTCCTACACCAATGAAAATTGAAGGTGGAGGTGAAGCAGGAACTCTGCCTTATTCAGCTGGATGCTAAGCCTATATACAGCATCCTAACCAAATTGTTAGGTAGTGGCTCTTACAGACCAGTTCCATTATCAGCTCAAGTACCTGTAAGTCACATACTAAACAGGACCCAATTCTCTAAACCAGCAGACCAGATAATGGTTCTCAATGAGCACCATAAATATTAATTTTAACATGGAATCTCAATGTGCAACCTGACATACTGCTTTAGGGAAATTTCAAAAGAGCTACCTCAAAGAATCTTGCACTTTGTAACAGTTCCAGTATGAGGCATTCAATGAACGGGCTACCATTAAACACAGACACAAATACAAGAACTGACTGCTTTGTGTGGAGGTTATGTTCTTGACCCCCCATGGGCAGCAGCGGAGTGCATGTAAGCACAACCTGCTCCGTTCCACTCCCTTTTCCAGCCACTTTTGGGGACAGCATGATACATGCATGCACAGTCATGCATCAATTGCACACGGCTAAAACAGTCATTGCCTATATATTTCAATAAGTCAACCTTCCAATTTCCTTTGAGACAATTCCATGAAGCATTTTCGTAACAAAAACTAGCTCACAATATTATTTACATTTCAATAGAACATTTTCATGTATAGCATTCCAAAAGCTATCCCAGTAGCATTGAGTCAAGGCCCACACGTATACACAAGAGTTTTTTAGCAAAAGGTATGACATTCAAGATTTTCTTACCTCTTCTAAGGCATTAGCTTTGCATCTAGAGCACTTCCAGTCCTCAGTTGCTTTCGCAGGGGCTACTCCATAACAACCTAACACAAATGAACATACAACTTCAACAGGAGAAGTATTTTTTCTCTAATAAGTGTGTGTGTGTGTGTGTGTGTGTGTGTGTGTGTATTGTCCATTAATACATAAATATGGAGCAAAATGTAAGTTAAATCTAGATTATTTATTTCTTCAATGTTTTCTGAATTACTGATTTTATCCTATTTGGATTTATTGGTAGGTTTGTAAACTGATTTCTCCCCCTTCCTTTTTTGTATTTTGATAAATTGATTTATGTTGTAAATTGCTTTGGCCACAGCTCACTGTGAAGAAGCAGCATATAACTAAACTGGCAAGCTTTTTCAGACTCTACTCTTCCTGCTTCAGTAACTTTATTTACTGATAGAATTAATCACTGCATAGCTGAATACGGCAGTTGCGTCCCCGAACACAACAGTATGGCATTCAGACCATAGGGAGAAGAAACAGACAACACCAGAACATGAGCAGACTTTAGACTAACCATTCCATCACCCATTCAAATCATAGTAATACATATCTAACAATAGCACTGAGCCTCTTACACTCTTTTCATATTTTATTTCAAAATGGGAATACCCACATTTCTTCATGATTTACTCAACGCCTAAGAACAGCTATGGGAGTAGGGGTAGGTGGGGGTTCAGATCCTGACTCTGGTCACTGTTAGGAATGAGGGGCTAAATTATTAAAACTGGGTAACTAACCAGATTTAGTTTTCTCACTATAAATCGCTAGAGACCGGAAGTGTTAAGAATACCCAAAACATTATGTAGACAATATTTTGTGGCAATCCTAATAGCAGCTGATATTCCTATTGATCATTTGCTGTCTTTTTTTAATGAACTCTTATACAAACTTTCAAGTGGAAGAATTTCACAGTTCCACTATGTGTGGTGTGCAAATGCTTTCTGTATGCTTTTTTTAATCTGCTGCATAATTTCTTTGGCATGCTCTAGTTCTACTATGTGCACAGATTAGATTTCCTGTTCATTTCTTAGCTAATTCACACTAATGCAAGGTATTCCATGCACTTGTTCATTTTATTCTCTGTACAAATCAAGGTAGTTCCCAAAAGGCAGCTCAATAATATTTTTCTGCATCCTTCCCTGCTTTTTTTAAAAAAAAGGAGCAGTGAGTTACCACAGGTCCATCTCTCCCTTTTTAAAACAGAGTAAAATGGAGGGACAGCATTTAATATCATAGCACAGGATCACACCCAGGATCTTTAGTACTCACTGGCATGTACTCGAACTTGACACTGTTTGCAAGTGACCAGAAGACTGGTGCCATCTTCCTCCAAGTACGGAGTGGAGAGGCTGACATCTGTGCTGCAGCCAGTGGTAGTAAAGCACATCTCAGGAATCAGGGGCTTAGTTCTCATCTTTCCATCAGCATCTGGAGCTGCCTGCGAGCTCTGGCCTCCACAATCTGCCTGTAAGAGGAGGAAAAAGAGTCATTTAATAGGACACCAGTTTGGCAAGGCAGTTAAGAGTGTAGGTAATAACAAAGGCCACCTACTCATTCAGTACGCTACCTATCAGGTACAGTCCTGTCCGAACACAAGAACTACAATACTCTAGTCTTAAACAGACAAGTAACACAGCCAATGACAAGGTTAGTGACAAATCAGATGTAGATTTAGTAGAATTCCCTAGTGAGAAAGAAACACTAAATATTACTGTCAAAACCCCCACACACAACCCAGTAAGCCAACTTGCTGCCAGACCAAGGTACAAATGTGAGGGCATAATTTTAAATAATTTAAACAATTTAAACAAGTAATTTAAATTTAAACAAGTAATCATGTGCCAAGATCGAGGACAGGATAAATTAGACCCCAGTTATCTTGTACTGTAATCCCATTATAGTACCCATTCTGTTTTATTATCTTGCTCCATATTCCAAGCTTCCTGGGTCACATCAAACTGCTACAGAGGTTTCTAATAGATTTGGCTCAGAGAAGCTAAATGGAAGGTGTTGATAAGGGTAGGCTCTACCAGCTGTTGGAAACAATCCAACACGATTTAAAGAGACCCATACCCCACAGTATTTTCACAAGTAACTCTCTATGGAATCATCTTCAAACCTCTTATTGGCATCACATACAAATATCCATAGCAAATCAGTACAGAATTCCCGCCTTTCCAGTGACACAAAACATTTGTCAAATGAAAGAGGCAAGGCAGTCTAACATTAGATCTCTAGGTCTCCAGAGAGATCAGATGTCTGCAATGTGTTTCGACGACAAAAAACCAGATAAAGGTATTTAGCCACTAACTTGGTGAGCTCCTGATTATTCCCCAATAATAGAAAATGTATGACACTCTGGTTCCCATTTGGGGATGCAGTTGATCTAGGAACTGCTGGTGGAGATCAACATATAGTTTACATTTAAGAACCATATGTGTAAGAGTTTCCACCTGATGGTCTTCACATGGGCAAATTCTTTCTCCTTCCACCATTCCCGAGAACCTTCCCCATAGGAGGTTTGAAGGATTTGAATTAAACCTGGCCAGCGAAAATGCCCTTCTTTCTTGAGGATTAAGCAAAAATTCAAGATAATTGTGGTTAATTTCATATGCCCAAGAAAGTTGAAAGTTAAGAGGGGAACATGTTTTCTCTGCTGCTGCTGTTAGTTCCTGGTGTTCAATGTCCCACAACCTAGTTTTTATTATATCCTTGGCTATTTTCTCTCAGCGCTGGTGCACTACAAAGACCTCTAAAAGATTTGGTCTGCTTACCTGGTAGGTTTGGAACAGCATGCAGACTGCACAATAGGGGGCTTGCTGAGCCATGGCTGAGTTGTACTCCTTTTCTGCCTCAAAGTTTGGAGGGCGATTCTGCCATAGCTGGCTGAGTGGCTTTGCCCATGTTTCTATCTCCTCAGTTTCTTCATCTGGTGCCAGCTGCTCTGACATCTCTGCAATAAGATACACAGGGGTCTTTCAAAGCTTACAAACCTGAGCTGCAAAGGGAGTCAAGGGACTTATAGATTGTTGGAAAATTCCTTAACGGTTTGAACCATTTCACAAGTACTACCAAACGACACTGTTCTCACTGTCCCCAAAAGTGTACAACTGCCCAGTCCTGCTGAAAGTTTGCTTCACCAGCAGCAATCACAAGCAGGTTTCTCACACATGTGGTGCAATAGTGGAAGCTGTAGCATGATGATCCTCAAGCCTATTTAATTTATGGGATCAATAACTTGGAAGTAACACAGTACGCACTAAATGTTAAATAGATACAAAAAGTGTCTTGAATTTTAGGAACCAAAACAGATCAAAGCCCTGTACCTGCCCATAACCTGCTGGCTGAAAATTCAATGCCAGAGTAATTCTAGTTCAGTTAGCCATGCACTGCATCTTCTCAGGAACTATTAATCAAAATATTCCAGAAATGAGTAAGAGAACATATTTCAAGGAATAACGTGGGGGGCGGATTTCATTTTGAATCCACATTTTCTCCGTTCAAATTTTACCTCATTAGTCTACATATACACACATTTGCAGTTGGAGACCAAATCTGCTTGCTTCCATCCATGCCAGTAGGCATTCCCCTTTGTCTTTGTCCCTGCCTTCCAATTCATTCATTCAAATGTGTTCATTTTGCACAAATGTGGCATGCATGTAGGAAACAAGTGAGCAATACGCACACCTTTAAAAAAATCAAAAAATCTGTGTCTGCCCAGGAATTGCACAAGGGCACACATCTGGGAATCTCCAATCCTCACTAGCATCCACAACAGACCTCTATTGCAGGAAGGAAACAACACTGAACTTACCATCATCACTGAGGCCATCTTTAACCAGAAGTGGGTGATGACGTGGTAGTTTGCTCAGGGGCTGGCGACGCCCTTTTGATTTTTTACGGTCTTTTACTGATCTGATGTACTCCTTCGCCATCTGGAAAAGACAGAGGTAGGTCTGTGGGCATCTCTTCACAGACAACAGATGCAGCACAACATAAACAGATTGCGAGGGGGGGAAGAGAATTTTCAGAACTGAAGTCAGGAAGAAGAGAGAGAAAAGTTTTGTGGCTTACGTTCCATGACATACAAGACTTTCACTTGGAGAAAGTACTCATGTCTTAAAAACCAGAGGTGCAAATATATAGCTTTTGGACATCTAGAGTTACTTGGTGCCCAAAGCAGAAAACACAGTCCTAGCACAAATGCACACCTATTTAATATCTAGCTTAGGCTTGTATTGGAAAACCCTACAAGGATCAAGCTGACAGCACATTACATAAAAGAAGACCAGTCTTAAGGTCAAGCCTGATCTATTACACAATTCATACAATTTAGATATCACTGATCATTAGTCTGCTTGCAGCATATGCTACAGCAAGACTGCTCTTGTAATGCAATCCCAATACTAATCTTCTAATTACTTTTGCAAGTTCCTGTTCATTCACACGGGTAGTAGCACTGGCTTTTTTTCCAGAGGGCTGCTCACTGTCCATGCCACCGACTTCTTCTTTAGCATAACTGTGCACTGTGAGAACTTCAGCTTGCTCAAGACCCTGCCTGGGGAAGTCAGGAGATTCAGAATCTGAAGAACTTGAACACATTGAAGAGCCAGACTGAGAGCTGGAGGCTGAACTCTGCTTCATGGCTGACTGGGTCAAGGCTGAAGTCACAGAATGAGAGATGGAAAGATCCAAAACAGCTGCATCTGGCTCTTCCTCTTCTAGTTTGACATTTTTCAGTTCTTCAAATTTTACTTCCGAGGAATCTGCATATTCTGGACCAAAACAATGTTTAAAGCACTCATTAGTAACTGCCAAATGAGACAAATTCCAAGTGAGGCTTCCAGAGGTGATCCATCAGGTAGCTAAGTCTGGCTATGTCAGCAGTGCCCCAGCAACCTTTTTATTCCATGACTTCAAACACCAAGAAAACATTCTAGCTCAGTGTCATCACCACCCCACCATTTCTCAGCATGCATGCTTGCACATTTCATAAGCATTTTTCCCCCAAAAAAATTATTGTCCATTTTGAATTCTCTACCTGCATAATGTTAAAACTCAACATTAAGGGAAGAGGGAGGGGACACATATTATCCCTACTTGCATGTCCCAGCGCGCATTCCCAATCTATTTCAAATCTTTTAAAACACTACATATTAGCTACCTTCTAAAGATTTTAACGATAGGCAATTTATTGTTACCACAATGAACCCTTTGGTAATTCTGTATCAGTTCCTTTACAACTTTCAGATGATTAGAACCGTCGGTTGAACTGACCCAAGCAGGATGATTAAGGTCTGTGTGGAGATAAACTTTAACCAAAAGTATGCTTTATGGAGACCGAGAAGCAATAAGAGCTTTTGGGAATGGCGCAGCAATTAATTCGGAGTCGCCATCTTGCCAAAGGATTTATAGCCGGGAGTAAGAATGGACTTGTTTTCAGACTGCATTCCTAGTGAATCTCCTCAGAGGTTTTGAGAAAGGAGGCAGATTGGTGAAGATTGATGATGCTAAGACTGTTTTGATGTATGGAAGTGATGTTATATGGAAAACGTCTGGATATGGCTACCGGATTAAAAAAAAATAATCCACGCAGGATTACAAACTGTTCTAACCAGCTTGCGGAGACTATCAGAGGTCACAAAGAGAAAGGAAAAATATATGAAAATAACAACAAGAGATGTGGAAAAATAATAAGAAAGGACTGGATAGTACTATGAACATCATAAGGTTAGATTTGTGGACATTAAAACAGCAGTAAGAAGCAAGAAGTTGATTGGATCCCTTCGGAACTTGAAATATGGGTACCCCCAACAATAATTTAAAATTCGGCTGTGTAATTTGGAATTTATGTAATTTGGTTTGATTTGATGTGATTGGTCTGTTAATAAAAAATTATTCTTTAAAAAAAAAGATATGGGGGCTAACCGCTATTCACTTTATTAATTTGTTCTAAAAGCTTTTAATGACATGGTAGTATTGGACTTATTTTGTCAAATGACTCTGAATAACTTAAGGTGAACATTACTGCAAAGAACCCATCTACTTTCTCTGTGATTGCCCCAGCTTCTTTGAGCATGTATTTTGTTGCTAGATTTAAAGGTCGTGCTAATTTACTGCCTAGATTTCTGCATGTAATGCAGAAACAGTAGCCCTTTTCAATCTAATGTGTGTTGCACCTGGTACATGGCACCAGAGTGACAGTATGAATAAAACCGCAGCAACATGGTACACGCTGATGGAGCAGTGCAATGGAGCAAGACCTTGAAGCAGTTACCTGGGGGTGCAAGCCCTTGGTCCCCTTGTTGCACAGGCTCTCTAGCAGGTCCAACAGGTGGTTCTGCCACTTCCATGTCAAACTGCACTGAACCCAGCTCTTCTTTGGGAAAGGCCTCACTTTGGCTCACCTCATGAGGAACCTCTAAACAGACGCGGTGCCGTTTGGTTCCAATGCGATGCTTGGGCATGCTGCAAAAACAAGTCTTACAAGTTAAGCACAACTGAAGCCATCACAGCAAGTTGCTATCTCTCAGGACTAGTTGACTAATGGACTTCCTGCAAAAATAAATAAATGCATGTATCACGACGGAGACAACAACGGAGAAGGGTGATAGAAACCATACCACTCTGCCACAGAGTAAATGGACATTCATTGACATCAATGCTTGGAATAAATTTTACAGCATTTCCTCCTCAGCTTTAAAAAGATCCCTGTTTTACATAAAGGTCTTAACTATTATTTAGCCATGGAGTAGCCATATTCAATGTAATGTATCCACCATGGATACAGACTTAAGGTGAAAAGGCTGGAAAAGGCAGGGTAATCTAGTCAGATGTTTGCAATATATTAAATCAACTCAGCTTTTTCTGTAAAATGCTCCCTCACAAGCCTACAGTGAAAATATATTTAAAGAAAATGCTGATCAAATAGCACTTCTCAGCTATATGCTTTTTATTTCCTGCATTCATCTAAATATTCATCACCCCTCTGTGAGCCAGAAAAACATCAAAACAAGAATTTGCTGATGGCCATGTCCTTAAGTAGGTTGATCATCACTTTTGATCAAATTTGTCCATAGGAAAGGAAGGTAATATCCAGCTCCTGAATTGGCCACTTCACAATTTCTGTGCACGGTATAAAAAACAAACATACCTCTTCTTCTCCGTATCTTCCTCTGCTTTGCATCCTTCTTCAGGTTCACTTTCCTCAGGACATTGCTTCTCCTTCTTAACTTTCTGGAGGAGCTCTCCTTTAAGGAACTCAGCTGCCTCTGGAGTTGGAAGTGTGTGGTCAATGACAGTTGCATCTTTCCCTGCTTTCCAAAGCTTGTAGCGTTCTGGCTGGTATTTTCTCACGAAGACATCCATGGAGATTTTGACCATGTCCTTTCGGCATGAACACTGCATGGAATAACAAACCAAGTGAGGCCACTTCTATTTCTATTTCCGTCCAATGTTACTTTACTCTGCTACCATGTTTTCCCTCCAATGATTTCACATACCATTCCCAGTCAGAATTAATAAGCAGGTACTAGGACTTGAGATTGAAAATAATAATGTGCAAAAAGGGAGTAGATAACAGAGGCAGGGGGCTCCACTGACTAATTGGAAATGTATTTGGGGAGTGCTGGGTAATAAGTGTGTACATCCAATTCCTGTCTAATATTCTTAATATCAAAAGTTGTGAGCTGTATTCTGACATCAACACATTTGTTAGTTGGTGTAACAAATGATTAATGATGAAATAAAAAAGCACCCAGTGAATGGCCTAGAACCATTTGTAGCTGCCCCACTGCTCTGATCAGTGTGCAGCTCTGATCAGACCCTTGGATGGGAGAGCACTGGGAGGTTCAATAAAATCTCTCTCTCAAAACATATATAAAGAGTACTGGGAAACTCAACAAGTCTCATTGCCACATTGTTATTTCACAAGTCTTGTGCTTTATACAGTAGATTAAACAAGATTTGCCTCTATTTGGGGAACTACGCAGGAGCAGCCAGAGCAGTGGTGCCATAAAGCTGCCCTGACGCTACTTGTGGCTACTTACTTGGCCATTGTGGGGAAAGATGGAAGCAAGATCAGAGCTCTCCCTATACCAACAATCACTGCTGCTTACCAGAATGGGGTAGAGGTGTAAAGGACTCCAAAGTTCTCTAATCAAGTCCTCCCACTGCACATTTTTAAGCATAATCAATCTTAGAAAGACTAAACTGGCTGATTCGACTTTGCAGCCCAGAATCACCAACAAAAATATTTGTTATAAAAATACAGTAGTTCCAAGATCCCCTTTTCAAAAAATCAAGCTGTTAAGTAGGGATTTTTTTTCCAAGCAGCAAGCATATTGACACCTACTAGTACAGACTGCTTTCCATACTCAATCCACCGAAGTGTAGCAAAATTAGTAGATTCAGCACAGTTGAAGCCATGATTAAAGCCAGCATGGTATCCATAAGGAAAGGTTATCATGAATTCACCTGCTTCTTGGGTCACCTGTAAGACAGGAAGGCCATTTAAGATTATCTGCATTTCACATTATCTCTTACTTGTAAGTTCTAATACTATGAATCCAAAATCATAGGGCTCAATTACCCTTTTGCTCAAATAATTAAATTGTCAAAGGCTGATTTACTTGCACTATTCTCAAATTTCTAAGAGACTGAGAACTTCTGCAAATTGAACTATATATGGCATATTTCAATCTGGACAGAAGAAGAAATGAGGTGCAACATACATTTTAGTTAAAATTTTATTTGGCCACATGTACATTTGTAAACAAATATTTAGACAAATTATGTATCAGCTGAGACTGAGTGACTAAAACTATCTTTCAATGCTATAGTAGTGCCTTTTCCATTTCAATTAGAACTGTGAAACTGTTATTAGAATAGAGATGTGGCCAACCCCTATGTGGCCAACCCCTATGTTAAGGCATGTTATGCTAAGTAGGCACAAATTAAACAAATAATAATTTGCTACATCCCTCTGCACAGCATCAAACCCTGCACCTTAGTTTTCTTCTGCAAGTGAATTATATCTTGTCCAGTAAGTTTAAGACCAGACCTTTCTAGAAATAGGAAGGCCAAAGTTTAAGGGATCTCATAAGAGATTTTGTATTTTCTGGTGTTTTCATCAACTTCTCAGAAATCCAATTCCTGTCATCTTACAAGGATCCCTGATGCTTCCTTAGATGTACTCTAAAACTGCAGTAATGCCAATGCTCCTTTCTCACCTTGTCAAATGGAATGCCATATTTCTTCAATATTGATGGAGATATTAGGGTCATCTTGTGACGAAGGAAAGCTTCACAGCTCTGGGCACTTCCAGGAAAGAACCCTGTTTAAGTAAAGATGTTATATGTGTTCCTGGATGAAAAGGGCTGCTCACATAAATACCCTTTGGCTACATTATTTAATACTTTATTCTCGACTCTTGCTACTCAAGCAGGAGAGAGACAAGACTGCAAAAAAACCAGACCATTATCATGCTCTCTCAAAGGTGACTGTACCCACTTGTTTCTAATGGAAAGGTGGACAGTCTTTCCTTATCTCATCTCATAGCACAATACGAATTATGTCACAGACTCAGAATAAGGACCAAAATAATGAAAATGGGGGAGGGGGACACCTCACAATAAAAACCCCAAGAACTAAGGTGGAGATTAATATCCGTTTTTTAGACTCTTAATAGAAGCTGCATCTTGTTTGTAGGTTCCAAAGAAAGTGAAGCTAACTAGTGGATTTCCTTTAATCAAGCTGAGTAAAAAACATTTTGAAAGCCTAAACAGATTACAATTAAGACAATCAGCCTAACTTCAACGCCCCCCCTCCAAGTAGGAGTGCAGGAATAAAAACAAACACTTCATTCCCAGATTCTAAGAATGGTTACCACCACAAAGAAATTTCCCTTCCCACACACTCATTCAGAGACCAAGTCTCTCAGCAGAGATATTTCCCAGCCCTGCTCGGTCTTTAATCGGAGATGCCGAGAACTGAACCTGGAGCTCCATTATGAAGGATATGTGCACTACACACTGGGGTACAGTCCTTCCCCACACCCAAGGTCTCTTCTTGAAATGGTTTTCCAATTTCTCCAATGTCAGGCATTGCCCAAGGAAGCCAAAACTAGCTCCCAGCAGTATAACCATCACTGTTGTATTATATACTGTATATTTATACATTTTGGCACGATTATTACAGTGATCTACTGGATTGTGCTGATGAGTAATGTTTCCTCTTTCAGCTGCAAGGACATAGCAAAAGATACATGAAAAGATGAATGTTTGTCCAGATCTTCACCTATGTAGTCCTTAAAAAAGAAAAGGGAGCTGTGCAAGGGTAATAGTCTTCCAACATTGCTCATTTCAACATTCAGAAACTGACTGTGATTTAATGAATTTCATCACTCCACTAACCTGTCAGTTGAACTGTATGGGAACTAGGGTAAGTTGCTGCACTAGAAAAGGTTTTTCCCTCACGTGCAAAAAGTTCTTCCTCCCTGCTGTTAGGTTTATAATGCTGGATTAGGGTTATTGCCATGGTAGCGTTAAAGCGAAAGTAGATCCTATGGCTCTTCAGAAACAATCAACTGCATACATCCACTGAGACAGAAAGAGATGGTTACCTTTAGCAAGGCGTTCCAGCCGCTTCCCATGCTCTGGAGGAATGGAGTACCTGTAGTCACAAACACGTTAAGTAAACAAAAAGCATAGCGGAGCTTGGGGTTGAAGAGCTTTAGATATCATAATAATAGTAGTAGTAATAATAACAGGAAATAATGGAGAAATAATTTCAATTGCTAAGCTACCAACATTTATAGGCCAATTTTGTTCTTTTCCAAACTAAGGAAGTCAGGAAGTTTGCTTGCCCATGAGACTCTTACTAGAAATACAGAATGGTAAATATAAGTTATATACAAAATGCTTTTCCGTAACAGATTCTCTCACCATGACTTGGGCTCCCCAAAATGCAAGTAGTTGATGCTGTAGAGGTCCATGTCCTCTGTGTGCCAGGCAAATGATGTTTTCCACATTCCAAAGTAGAGATATGGTGTATTCACCCCCTCAATAGTAATGCCACTTTCATTCTCTACTACATCAAGAATTGTATTCAGATGGCCAATATTCCAGTCATCTATATGCTGAAGAAATTAAATGAAGCCAAACAGAAACAAGCAATTAACATCTTATCAGCTGTAATAACTAATATGATTTGTCCTATATTACTGCTAACCTCTACTCCTTGCCCTATTGATAATTTCAGCAACAGGGACAGGTAAGTCTGCACTTGCTTCAGTGACACCATACAATGGTTAGAGCTCAGCATCAAGGCTAAGAGTTTGTAATCACTACTGAAAGCAAGGTAAACCATACACAAGTTAGAGACACCTATTCATAAGTTTGCTTCTTACCTTGTCATAGAGTGTGCCATTAACATCTGCACCATATATTGGAGCATTGAATGTGAGGTTCTTCCAGTATTTGCGTTCAAGGTCTTCAAAATCAGTATATCGAGGGGTGCAGTATCTAAAATAGAAGGCAGTTGCTTTTCACTTTCTTTTTCATAGGCATATCTCATAGAAATGTCAGAAAAAGTAGCAGTCATTTAAAAAAACAACAACAGATTAGTCTTAATAAAAATGTATTATAGAAAACAGATTAGATAAGCACTATGGATAGAGGGAATATGTATAAGTATAAACATGCAGAACTAAGAAGCCAAATGTTCCATTCTTGTTCTTTTCTACTTTTAGTAATAACGTTTATACGCTATGCAATCAGGCTCAAGTTCTTTGCCAAAAAACTGATTTGCATAATTTGAGAAGAAAAAGACCATTAAGAAATACAGTACATGACTGGATAATTTTATCTCAATTATTCTGGTGATAATCTTTGACAAAGAACACCAGTGTTCCTGGATGGTCAGCAGCGATAAACACAATTCCTATGAGCCACAGAACAGGAGGAAACAGTTTATTATGGGTGCAAGAACTGCAATGCGCAGAGGGGCTCCTTGGGGCTGACTCAAGCCTTTGTGTATGAAGATCTGTTCTTTCTGTTAAAACTAAAGGACAGGTCATACATGGGCATTGCTTGGCAGTTATTTAAAAAAGAAACTAGAGCAGGTAGTTGATGTAGTGCCCTCCATGTGTTTTGGACTACAACTCCCATTAGCCCCACCCAGCATGATTAATGGCCAGGAATTGCAGGTGTAATCCAACATCATCTGGAAGGTGCCATGTTGGCTATCACTATTATAAATAAAATTACAGAATAGAAATGTATTTAAACTTCCATACTTATCACTATTTGCTATCCTCCTGAACTCCCGAACTGTCATAGCTTTCTTCTGGATGTTATATTGTGTGAAGAGGCCTGACTGGCCTGTGACCACTTGCTGAATAGGAGCTGGGATGTTCACATCATCAATATCATCATACCATTTGCGTGGTTTCCATTCCTTTGGAGGAACAACCTAGAAAGTTCAAAAGACAAATGATACAATGGTTCAAAATAGCAAGTAAATAAAACCTGTAGAAGTAACCCAGTAAGGCACATGATTTCATAAGATATTATTCCAAGGGTACGGCTGCATATTCCTGCATTGCAGTGGGTTGGAGTAGATAATCCTCAGGATCCCTTCCAACTCTACAATTCTATGATTCTATAATATAGTTTTCATTGGCATAATGCTTTGATATAATTAGTTGGGACTAAGCCTCATTGAATTAAATAGCTCACACTTCTGAGTAGACACGGTTAGAATTATACAGTCATTAAAATGTCTCAACTTTTAATATGGGGGGGGAATCACCCTTCATCTCAAATATTGTTAAGCAAATAGTATTAGACAATGTGCAAAATTTCTATGTCTGACTATGAAAATCTAAACAACTCAATTTTTATCAGTGAGGAATATTAAGACCTATTTGTAATGAAAATAAGAACTATTTCCTTAGCATCAACGGCATGCAGCTGTGTATCAAAACTTTCCAAAGACACGTCTTCACTGCAAAATACATTTCTCATTAGCACTATGCTGTGGTTCTCAACAAATTACAGTAAGGCAACTTAGGCACATTTGCTCATTCAGCTTTATCTAAAAAAAATAAAACAGGCAGAAAGGGAGTGGCGTTCCAGGAAAATCTGGCAATCCTACCCATCACTAAACATAATGGGTTTGGACTAAACATGATTTTGGCTTTAGGTGTGATCTCTGGAATGTAACCCCCATGTAAGTAAGTTAACTATACACTATATTTTTCTGAATCATACTAGATAACATTTTGAACACTTTTGTGGTCTGTTTTACCTTTGCCAGTCCAGCTCTATGAGCTCCTTGCGACTCTATATACGCAATGTAACGGCTGAAGTTTTTGAACTCTTCCATAGTTGGGTGGAATGTCATTATTCTCGCACTTGGATTCGGGTTCTCAAATTCAGATGCCATGGTTCTTGTTCACAATTGTCCTTGTCACATGTGAACCAGGAAAAAAGTGCACTAATACAAACAACCATTCAAATAACACAAATAAATAATCAAATCAGGCCTATCTAGGGTAGTTTAAGCATAATATATAAAGAATGCTAAACATAAATGAAGGCATTTCCCCTCCCATTTCCTAAAGATCAATAACCCAACTATCTTGGGAGTGGAATGACAATTTTATTTTTTTTTTAAATCCTCCTAACTTTCACCGTGTTTTACTCAACAGCTTGTGCCTCCTAAACATCCGTCACACTGTAAAAATCCCCTGTCAGAGAACAAGTACCAGGGTGTACTGTACTGCCAACACTGCTGTTTGCGAAAGACCCCACCATTCTCTCTCTTGGGATACTGGAAGGTGCTCTGATGGTTGGCTACAGAGGATACGGTATGACGATGCTTTTGCTTTTGTTTTATTGAGGGCATTTCCTGACACGGAAGCTTGAGTTACATTTCTCACCAAAGAGTTACTTCCCCCTCCAACAAAGACATTTATCAATCCTGAAAGGCCATGAAGCCTAGGGGAAAGAGGCAGCAGTATGGCTATGAATCTCATCGTTGATGGGGCCCACAAGTAGGAAAGGGTTACTGCGCTGGTGTTCTTCTTCTTCTTGGGGGTACCTGGTTCTTCTCGGTGGGAAATAAGATGCTGGGCTAGACAGGCCTTTGGTCTGACCCAGTGTTACGGCCAGCAAGGCTCTTCTTAGGAGAAGGATGTCTCCTTGACAGGGGCACGTGCGGCACTGTTTAATGGGCCGGGCCTGTTTGGTTTTGTACACACGGGAGGGAGGCCTGCCTCTCCAGGAGAAGAAAGGAAGCTGCGCCCGTCGCTGCGAGACGTGAGGGGCTTAACAGCGCTCATCTTTGTAGGGGCGCCCAGGGCTGCCTCGGGCTGCGCCTGCGGTTACAAAACCCGGCCTAGGGGAGGCGAGGAAAATCGGGTCGCTCGCTTGTGCGCGGAGGCGGCGAGACCGGCCGTCCCTCACCCCTTCCACTCCTGAAGCCAGGGCCTGGCACCACACGGCGCGGCTCTGAGCCCCGAGAGAGATCAATCCAGCGGAGAGGGGAGCCCACCCTCCATCCACTCCCACCCGAAAGGACGGTCTTCCGCTGCTCTCGACGGTTCCCGTTCCTCAAACGCGACTTCAGGCCAACCGAGAGGGGCCCCACCCGGACCCGCCTCGCTTCCCACTCCCCCGTTCTCGCTACCCTCGCGGCTCAGTCAGTCAGTTAGTCCGCCGCCCGCCCCCGGCACTGCCACGGCTCCCCCAAGAAAGCCCCCTTAATTCGTACTCACCTACGTGCATACAAGCACCACCTCCGTCTTTGCCAAGGCCCAAGGCTCGAGTATTAGCCTGGGGCCGAAACCGTCCTATGCTCCGCCCCCTCCCGGTTGCGTCGGGGGCGCTTCCCAGTCACAGTCCAATCCCCACGACCGCCTGGATCGGCGTTACCGTCTCATAGGCTACCTGCAATGCCAATCATAAAAGTCTCGTCCGCCGTCAGGCCCCCCCCTTCGCCGCCGCGACGACTGGTCGGATTAGTGCCCCCTGCCGTGAAAGTAGTTCCGACGCTATTTTACGGCTGCGCGAGGCGATATTGCGACTTTGTTTGTTCGAACGACCATAGGCCGCCCCCTCTGCTCGAGTTAGTAAAGAAACCGCTCCGTCTTTCTCTCGCTCCCTTTTTTTCCGCCCCTTACTCCATATGCCCAAGCGGTCTCCGCCCACAACGAGATTCACGTACTGTAATTATAGTTCCGATCTAACCATAGAATAGCCAATCAGTGAGGAAGGGAGTCTTGTCGTTAAGCAGACTTTGTGTTTGTGGGGAGACGCTGAGGGAGGGAGGGAGTCTCCACCGTTGGTGAGGGGGTTATCTAATAACCGTTTTCATATTGAAAGGAGAAGCGGCATAAGGGTTTGTTGATATAGGGGACAGCAGCGTGTGCGATACCCTGTTATTATTTTGTACGTCTGCTTTTCATTTTACTTAAGCACTGAAAGCGAAAACATGTTGGTTGAATTTCCTCGACGCAAGGAGAAATTACTGTCGTTCCTTTATTTACTTCTCAGCGCTGACGCTGGAGCCCAATTCCAACATGGCTCGGTTTTGAACTGGCGAGGTGGCAAATCTGTATTGTTTATTGTTTTACCAAAGAGATTGTAGAATCGTAAAGCTGGAAGGGACTTCCAAGGGTCATCTAGTCCAACAGCCTGCGACTCAGGAATCACAACTAAGGAATCCCTGAGAGATGGTCACCTCTGTTTAAAAACATCCTATGAAGAAGGGAGAGGCATGTTGTACATACCGGTAATAATTTAGTAACAATTCGGAAGTTAGCCAGGGGTTACTGGAGGGAGAAGGCTTTTTTTCTGCACAGGTGTCCAGACTAAATAAGAGATAGGGAACCTACAGCCCTCCAGATATTGTGGGATTACCGATCCCATCATCCCCAGCCAGAGTGGCCAATGGTTAGGGGTGATGCCAGTTGTGCTCCACCAGCATCAGGAGGACCCTACTTTGGCCGCCTCTAAGAGATGCATGACAGACAGAATCACACCAGGGGCAATAGAGTTACAGAAACCGACAATTGCCCAAATGTTTCTTTCTATATTACTCTTAAAAGTGAACCTAGCAGAGGCTGGGACTGTTAATGTTTAATCATATAATATCTAATCTTTGAATGGTTTCCAGAGAGACAGCGGCGTAGCGTGGGTTGTCAGCACCCGGGGCAAGGCAAGTAATTTGCGCCCCCTAACCCCTAACCTGCCGCCGCTGCCAGCTTCTTCTTGCTGCTGCCTGGGCTGGGGTATTTACGGTAAGGTAGCCACAGTGGCGGCGGCGGGTCCGTGTCAGGTGATCTAAGGCGAGTTGCCGCTGGCGCTGCCGCCCAAACGACGCCGCTTGCCTGGAGGAGGAGGGCAGAGAGGCGAAGAAAATGCAACATGGCCCAGCAGCTGCAGCAGCAGCGGCGGCGGGGCTGTGAGGAGGGGCTGCCTGGCGCACCCTCCGCGGCCCTGACGCGTGGGGACTGCGGCGAGCGCTGAGAGCCGCTGCCAGCTCATCGGTTCCGCGAGACATGGGGCTCTGCTACAGCCTGCGCCCGAGGCTCTTCGGCGCCCCCCCAGATGTTGCGCCCGGTGCGGCCGGCCCCCCCTGCATCCCCCACGCTACGCCACTGCAGAGAGAGACTAATATCCGTAGACTGGCCTTACAGACATAAGAAGAGCCTGCTGGATCAGGCCAACGGTCCATCTAGTCTAGCATCCTGTTCTCACAGTGGCCATCCAGATGGCTGTGGGAAGCCAGCAAGCAGGATTTAAGCACAAGAGCACTGTCCTTTCACTGTGTTATCTACCAGGCAGTCTCATCTGTTGACTATGAGGAACATGAATTTAAGGCATAATGCATTCCAGAATAAATTCTGGTTTGCCAGTAACAAGATATTCATTTGGCATAGGGTAAGGCAGCACCAGACCCATGGCGAGAAAGGGGTACTACTAACAGGCAGGGAAATGTGGAGCCCAGTTCTAGCCATGTTTACTTATCTCACTGGTTTCATTTGAATTTGCTCCAATGTAAGCATGGACAGTATTGCAGCCATTCATCTTCATGTTTATTATTGGGTTCAGTTGTTCTTCAGTTTTCTGCCGCAAACAGCCTAACCCTATTTATCTGGTAATAAGCCCTACGTAATTTAATAGGACTCACTTCTGAGTGGACAGCTCATAAAATTAATGCAGCATACAATTTTCATATGTTTACTACCTTTAAATCTACATGCAAAATCAAATAGCAGCTGATTTAGGGTTGTGGAAAACTTTCCAGAAATGTTTATAGAAATTTTCACAATTTATTCCCCCCCCCTCCGCCAGTAAGCCCACATCTCTAACTGAACTGATGCCTTTCTTACTGGGCTTATTTTAATATTAATACAGGGCATACATGTTGAAAATGACCCCTTTGTTTGAAACAGTACAGTTGTCTTTTAAAATCTTGCCTAGAACTGAAGATTTATGCTGGGCAGAGATCTGATTCTAGGGTGATACCAAATCACCTTCTGAGGGAAGACCAATACACCCCTCTGGCTACGTTGGGTATCTCTAATCCTGAGGAAAAACCAAGCATGCTTGTCATATTTATAGAGACTCTTTACTCACATTAGCATGCCATGGCTGAAAAAAGCATTAACCACCAGAAACAGCGCTGTCACCAGCAATAGACACTGATGCAAGTCCTAGAAGGACAGGGATCCATGTACTTACTTAAAATTATAATCTATCCTGAGTCACATGGATGGTTTGGGCTATAAAACAAAAATAACTGTATGTCCTAGTGAGCCACTTGTTTGGCAAGGTTGCCCAGGTCAGACCCCAATGACCATGTGAGTCAAATTCTCCTTTCCCAGCATTTAATTAGGATGGTCCTATTGAACCAGTAGAATTGCTGGGAAATTTTCCGGAAAACCTCTCAGCCACTGATGAGAAATGTCAGTTATTCTTGGGAACTCCTAAGGTTTGAGACAGTAGCACCCGCAAATTTTGGATCAGAAGAAATAAAGACAAGTTAATAAAATGTTGCTGGCTGGTCTCCAAAGACTTCCATAGACACGGTCTAAAAAACTTTGGTTATCCTGAGAGAGCAAGCAGATGACTGACGACTAGCTGTGAGGGAAACGCTGTGTGTTCTCAGCTTCTCCATAGGTCTGGCAGGCACGTTGTTTCATTACTAAAGTCCTGGAGCAACTTTTAATATCATTCAGGATGACACAAGCCATTTTTTATGATGATAAATGGTCTAGAATCACCACCAAAGGAAGCATGTAAGGCTGGTGACACATTTATTGTTACCATGGCTGCTCCTGGCTGGAGATTACTTATTAAAAACCAGCAAGAGGGCAGCAGTAGACAGCTGTTTGAAGGGACCAGAATTATTCCTGCTCTCAGACACAATCATAGCCAGAATGAGTGAGAGGAACTTTCTGCCTTCGGCGAAACTAATAAATGAAAATATTACTTTAAGTGGCAAGGGGTAGGAGAGTTTTCCCCCACCCCCTAGATTTGGATCATATCTGAACCTTCTATGTGGAACAAATTGAATCGATTGCAATCTGATTTTACAATAATGTTTTATTGTTTGAAATAATACCTTTATTTGAGCAAATGCATATTTTAAACCAATTAATTCAAAGTGTTCTTTCTTTGGCTATGTTTGTACTTCAGGGCTGAACTACATGACCCATATCTCTTTTTTATTCTGTGGATTTATGCATTTTTATTTTTGGCTAAGCTACATTAGTTTATCAGCCTTCTCTAATCCCAGTTTTAAATGTGGACAATCAATTCTGTGGTGCATTTCTAAGAGGTTTTGTGTCAATTTTGAAAGCAGTGGCAATGAAGCCTCTGGTTCCTGAGTTGGCTGAGCTACTGTGAGGTTTAACAGTTTCTGTGAACATTCCATCTGCTGAGGGAGATTATTAGGCTGTGGCTTCATATTGCTCCAACTTTGCCAGATGAAGTAAACAAAACAAAACAAAATCTCTCACATGGAGAATATGGACTGGAAAGCTCAACAGGAAGAGGTTCCAGGAGGAAGCAGCACTCACAGGTAAGCAGCCTGAACACATGGAGGCTAAAGGAAGGTATTCCAGAAATGGAAAGCTGAGGGAAGGTTGGATAAGGCAGAGAGGGGTCTGAGGAAAACAAGAACAGAAAAAGATGGTTTAGAAGAGTGAGATAAAAAATGAGCTAATGAAAGGGGAAAGAGTTTGTGTGTTCTTGGTAGGAGTGCAAAACTGGTCAAGTTGTCTAAAGAAAGTGAGTACACACTTGAGTACACGCAGAAAGAGCGTACACATTCAAAGGAGCTGAGGAAATAGCAGGTGGCAGAAAGTTGAAGAGACCAAGGGCCTAACCAAATGCACACATGTGTATTAAATGCTCAGTGATAGTTTGAATATAAAGTAGGGTAGTGGTGGTGAGAAGATTAACATTTTACTCTAAAAGAAGTTTGGGGAGCAAAATCTACTCCCTCCCCTGCCTTAGCTATGTACTTCACTGTTTTATGATGCCCCTCCCCTTCAGCTCAGCTCTGATACCAAAAGTGAGGGGGCACATCTTAAAACATCAGAAAGTAAGGTGAAAACACTAACAGCATGGACTAAAGAGTGAAGACCTTCCTCCCACCACAAAAGAAGAAGAATAAATTTTGAATCTTCAAACTAATCTTCAAATTCAAACCAGCAGTCAGGCAGGAGGAAGGGAAGTGTGTACTGGAGGAAGACACTTGATGGTTCCAATTTTCTTTCCCAGCCAGATATCTTCCTGGCACTAGCTGTTTTTTTACCCTAAGCCTTCTACTTAGAATCTACTTAGAATGGTTGGACAGTGTTCTCGAAGCTACCAACTTGAGTTTGACCAAACTGCGGGAGGCAGTGGAAGACAGGAGTGCCTGGCATGCTCTGGTCCATGGAGTCACGAAGAGTGAGACACGACTAAACAACAACAACAAGCCACTTTTTGTTTCTGTCAACCCAAAGGAAAGGATGCAGACTGTCCTTTATGTGTATCTTAATTTTGTTAAGCAGCTCCTTTTCACAGAATTCCTCTTGTACAAAAACATTTAAAAATAAAAATTAGCCTTGCAGTACAAGAGGTGTGGGGTTGCGGGTGGCGCTGTAGGTTAAACCTAGGACTTGCCGATCAGAAGGTCGGTGGTTCAAATCTCCGCAACGGCGTGAGCTCCCGTTGCTCGGTCCCTGCTCCTGCCAACCTAGCAGTTTGAAAGCACGTCAAAATGCAAATAGATAAATAGGTACTGCTCCAGTGGGAAGGTAAACGGTGCTTCCGTGCGCTGCTCTGGTTTGCCAGAAGCGGCTTAGTCATGCTGGCCACATGATCTGGAAGCTGTACGCCGGCTCCCTCAGCCAATAAAGCGAGATGAGCGCTGCAACCCCAGAGTAGGTCATGACTGGACCTAATGGTCAGGGGTCCCTTTACCTTTACCTTACAAGAGGTGTGAAAGGTAATGGGGAAGAAACAAATTGGCATGGGAACAACTCCAAATCCTTTCCTGGCTTGAACTGCTCTTGTGCAAACCCAAATTTCTATTTTTATTTTTTTTTAGCTTTACGGGCACAGATAAGCAAATGGACCTCTGGCTTCAAATCACAAATCACATTTGCCTTAATTTACTTAATTGTAAGAATTATATATTCAGTGCTTTTCAGCACTGCCATGGTGCAACAATCTGGATTAAGGTGTGTGTGTGTGTGCATACACATTTCGTCTTTCGGGGGGGAGTTGCAGGAGGGGGAAGAGCTATCAGAATGGCTGGTGCCCAGGTCACTCTTGCCAAAATCTCCAATTGTGCTGACAGGTTCTAAAAGGTTGTCAGTCCTAAATGATTGACATTGGAGTGGTTTTAGCTGGAAGCTATAGGCTATAAGTGGTGTTCTTTCACTTTCATGAACATCCCCACGCCCCCACAAAAATGGCCTACACTATACCAAGAATATTTTCTCCCGAAGATGCCTAAAGGACATCTAGCTAACAGACTATGCCATTTTGTACCTTTGCACATTTACTTCTGATTTGGGAAGAACAGATCAGTTGTGGATTTGCCTTGGGAAAACACAACTACTCCCACAGCAAAGGAGAGTGAGAGAGGCAAATGACAAACCAGACCTCACTTTTAGAGAAATAGCTCATAGGTGAACTGCAATTGTAGCTTCAGGTCACTAACATTTGCAGAATGCAAGAGCCACTATTATACCAGACTACAGTGCTGGAACAGTGGCTTATGTGACAGCTTCAGTGAGGAAATGCTGCAGGATGCCTTCTTTATGTGAATGAGCCTGGTTATAAAGAATGGCTGTGGTGGTGAAATCCTCTGATCTTAAAAATGTAGGAATTTAAAAATCACTAGAGCATAAGTACAAATGACTTGCAGCCTTTTTGTTTAATGTTTCAGATTCTTTACTTTTTATTAACATCACATGTTCCATCTTTTCTCTTTAACCATGAGGACTAGAATGTGACTTTTAGAAAAATGAAGTTTGGCATTCTTGGGATAATAACAGGAGCTCTGGCTGTACATAAGTGTTACTTGTGTTGTATGTAAGCCATGGGCTATTTGTTGCCCAGCCTGCCAGACATATAAGCAAGTACAGTGGCGTAGGAAGGGGTGTGTGATGGGTGTGGGCTGTTCCGGGTGTCATCATTGAGGAGGGTGACAAAATGACAAAAATGTGAGGTTTTTTTAAAAAATTGGGCTCACTAAACTTTTTAGTTCAGTCAACAAACACAACGAAATGCGGCTGGCACTGGGCGCCACACCGCGGGGGCCGGCGCTTACCGCGGGGCCTGCAGCATGCCCGAGCTGTGCGTCTCTCCTGGGAGTGACATGGTGGCTTGGGTGCCTGCAGGCTCCAGGCGCTGCCTGAAACAGCAGCATGGGGCTTGCATCTGCCCGCCGCCTCAGCCATCCTACAGTTGAGGGGGAGGTTGTGGAGAGGCTCCATGCAGCGCACCCTGCCTTGGCTTGCCCCCCCAATAGGCGGCTTGCCCTGCCCCATGGATGGCTCACCCCGCTCCCATGGGCAGCTCGCCCTGCTCCCCGGGCACCCAAGCGGTAGCTATGCCACTGAGCAGGTACAAAGTACTTTCATAAACAGCCATTGTTGGGGATTTGTGTTATCAGTCTTGTGAGATAATTAGAGCAATGTAAATTTGTGGGTACATCCATTTCTGGTTCCCTCTTTGCCCCACAGCCCCTGAGGTAGAATGCTGAATTATTTGTGAAAGGAAGTGGTCGCTTTTACTTGCTCATGAGTATTTCTATTCAGTCTAATAGAAGAGAAATGGGCTATTAAAGTCTCCAGGGACCTTGCTTTATAGATGTAATTTACCTTCAAAGTGTCTCAGATATGCTGCTAGAGAGAATTTCTAAGAGTGCAATTGCATTAGGTATGAATGCAGAAGGCAAACTACAGATAAAATGCAGAAGACATTAAGAGAATCAAGAGGGAGTGAGAAGAAGCTAAAAAATATGAAAGGAATGAAACATTATAGAAGTGAGGGAAACAAAGACTGAAAGATTGAAAGAAAGATTGAAAAGAGGCTGCACAGATTCAGCTAAAGCATGCTAAAAAGGGTGATCTGGAAGGGAGAGAAGAGGATGTTTCAGTGGTATGTGAATATTGGGAAACATGCAACTAAACTGGGCCTTTTATTCAAGTAGTAGACTGAATTATTTGATGGTATTTTTCCTTGTACATTAAGTGCAAAATTGTTAAAATGCTTGAATAAGAAGGAGTGTATATGTGACTCAGGCATTTACAGATTTAAAGTTAGAATGAGCTGGATGGTGCCATTATTCTTGGTCTCATGCATCTTTATTATGTGGTATGTCATAGCAAAAGAAACCTGTGATATTGTAACACTCTTTGCTCCTTCTCAGTACAGTGGTACAGTACCTTGGTTTACAAACTTAATCCGTTCCAGAAGTCTGTTCTTAAACCGAACCCGTTCTTAAACCGAGGTGCGCTTTCCCTAATGTGGCCTCCCGCCACCAGTGCCCTTCCACCCTTCGGCTTCCATTCTTAGACCGAGGTAAAGTTTGCAAACCGGGATACTACTTCCGGTTTTGTGGAGTTCGTAAACTGAATAGTTTGTAAACAGGGCTGTTCTTAAACTGAGGTCTTGGGTTACAGACGCTTCAGGTTACAGACTCTGCTAACCCAGAAATAGTACCTTGGGTTAAGAACTTTGCTTCAGGATGAGAACAGAAATCGCGCGGCGGTAGCGGAAGGCCCCATTAACTAAAGTGGTACCTCAGGTTAAGAACTTCCCTATACATGGCTGCCTTCCAATATCTTCTAAAAGCTGTATAGTTACTTATCTTCTTGGCTTGGGGGGTTGCATAACTCCATAGCTGCCAACATTTATCCGATTAAAATAGGGACATCCTAAGGAAAAGTGGAACATTCAGGGATAAAATCAGAAACCAGGATGACTTCTGTAAATGCGGGACTGTCCCTGGAAAATAGGGACACTTGGAGGGTCTAGAATACTCTTCTTTCTCCTTCAATCACAAGGGGAATGCAGATTCACCATCCCATTCTTCCCCTGGCTCTTGCACCCATTCTCCTCTCCTGCCTACTTAAACAAGCAGGATGTTTGTGCTGTTCCATAGGAGATGGAAAGTGTGAGGAAGATAATATTTTGTGAAGAGCAGGGATGTAGAAGCGACATCTGAAAAATTCCTAAGCAGATAGAGAGGTTCTGTGAGTTATTACCTGGTAAGCCTCTGGGGCAGAACACCCAAAAGCCAATTTTATGGTATTTGTCACGGTCCGGTTCACGGGCGATCAAAGTCCCGGCTGGGGATGTTGGGACCGGGGGCAAGATAGCGGGGTGGGAGCAGGAACGGGAGTCCAGAAGACAGGAGTCAGAAAGCCTAGATTCCTAGGGTTAGAGATCCAGGAGTCAAGAAGCAAAGGTCCGACGGTCAGGAAGCAAGGAGTCACAAAGTCAAGGGTCCGAGAGTCAAGGAGTCAAACGCAGAAAGGCAGGGAACGTGTTGTTGTGGCAAAGAGCTGAAGGGAAAATGCTGACCTTATATCCCTTCCCTGCTCTTGCCACCAGGTGCTGTGAGTTACCAATTGGCCTCATCTGTGTGGCCGCGCCTTGCCTCTTCAGAACAAACTTAGGAAGGCCCCAGTCCTGCAGAGTCCTATTGTCACAGGGCCTGGCTCTTGCACGCACACCTGACAGTACTCCCCCCCATAGGAAAATGGGGTTCCATCCCCGGCCATGGCCCAGGCTTGTCTGGGAACCTCCGATGGAAGGCCCGTACTTTGGTGGGCGTGTGCACTAAGTCGGCCGGCTCCCACGATTGTTCCTCTGGCCCGTAGCCCACCCAGTCAATTAGACAGTAGAGCTTGCCACGGAGCCATTTCGAGTCCAGAATCTGGGCGACCTGGAACTCATCATGGCCGTCAACCTGGACTGGCGGTGGGGCAATGCTTCAGCTGGGAAACACTGGGTGGATCTTCAGGGAGGGGGGAAGTTCCAACTTGTAGGCGACCGGATTGATCTGCTGCAGGGTGGTGAATGGTCCCTGGTCCACCTTAGCCGACGGACGTCCAGTGCGGTGGTGCTCCAACGACAGCCAGACCTTATCCCCAACCTGGAACGTGGGCCCCTGCTGGCGCTGTCAATCCGCTTGCGCCTTATAATCTGCCTTGGCTCTCGCTAGGTGCCGTATCAGGTCAGCTTGTGTTTCCTGGATGTGGGAGACCCGATCATTGGCGGAAGGCACAAGAGACGCCGCCGGTAGTTAGCGTAGAAAGGGCTCTGTCCCGTGGAGGCATGGCAGGTGTTGTTATAGGCAAACTCAGCCAGTGGCAGAAGGTCCACCCAATCATCCTGATGGTAGCTCAGGAACCAGTGGAGATATTGCTCCAGGACTTGATTAACCCTCTCCGTCTGGCCATGTGTTTGAGGGTGGTATGCGGAAGAGAGGCGCCTCTCAATACTCAGTCCCTTGAGGAAGGCCGCCCAGAACTGGGACATGAACTGGGGACCCCTATCGGAGATCACCGCATCTGGGAGCCCATGTAGCCGGAACATGGGTTCAAGAAACAAGTGGGCTGTCTGTTGCGCTGTGGGGAGGCTTAGAGCTGGGATGAAGTGTGCCATCTTGGTGAGTGAATCCACCACCACCAGAATGACCAACTGTCCTTTGGACACAGGGAGGTCCACGATGAAGTCCATAGAAAGTGTTGACCATGGCCTGTGGGGGGGGTAATGGCTGGAGGAGCCCCAAGGGTCTCTGCCGTGGCACCTTGGTCCGATCAAAAGTCTCACAGGACCGCACGTACTTCTTAATGTCCGCCCGAACCCCTGGCTACCAGAAAGCTCAGGCCAATAGCTGCAGTGTCTTCGCGTATCCCCCATGTCCGGCAGTTCACGCATCATGGCACTGCTCAAGGACCTGGGTCTGGAGCAGCCCCTCTGGAATTTAGAGCCGGCTGTGATGATACACACACCCATCCCGGACATCAAGCGGTGCACCCCCCAGTCCCAAAGGCACCGGGCTAGTATCCAACTTAGGAAGGCTCCAGTCCTGCAGAGTCCTATTGGTCACAGGGCCTGGCTCCTGCACGCACACCTGACAGTATTAGCCTGTTTTAGCATGTCCTGCCTGTGTTAAAGCGGTATGGGAAGCAGCAATGGTGCCACACTCATTATATGAGAATTGACCCTTGGTCAGGTCTCAATTCAGCATGAGAATAATAGAGCATTTGGAAGGGCTGGGAATATATTTTTCCTAGTGCACATGTCTCCATTCACATGTTTCACAAACACATGCTCCCTATGGCAACCAATGCCTGAGGCCTGGGTCAGTAGCTTACACTTCATTATAGTGGCAGGGCTAGATGGAGGGGGGGCTACTGTTTCTGTATAAGAGTGTTTTTAGGGATATGGCAGGGTGAAATGGAGGCCCAGATGTATCAGGGAAATGTTTGAATACAAAAGGCTTGGGCAGAGTGATAGCTAGGAGATGGAGAGAAAAGGGAGTAATAAAACACTAATAATTCATACCTTCCAACATCACTCAGATGAAAATCAGGACATTTTCATCTGAGGAATGCAAGGTGTTTCTGACTGGGGGGAAAGGGTGGTGGAGGAAATAGGTGCACACTTACTCAGCACATGCTCAGAGGCACTACTGCCATCTCTTCATTACCTCACACATAACCGGATGAGACCCTAGCACTAGGCATCAGCCCTCGTTCCCTTTCCCTCTGCTCTCTTATCCATCTTGCTAGTTGCTCAGGACTCAACCATTGCCGTTGCCAGTTCCAATCTGCACTGCAGCCCTTTTAATCCCTGCCCACCCCCCGTCTCTCTCAAAGGTGCCCTGGTGAATGACATCATCAGGCCGGACCATCAAGCTTGCAGATCACCAAACTGCGAGGGGAAGAGAGGCAAAATCCATGCAGATCTGATCCAAAGAACCAACCTTGGAGAGTCCGATCCACTGCGTGGATGGCAGGTAAGTCTCAGGCCCTGCGTGGCCTCTGCGATCTGCTGTTGCCACTCTCACTCACTGCCAGGGCAGCACTGTGAGAGGGGAACAAAGCCTTGAAATTGGGACACCCAATTTCAAGTCAGAAGATTGACCTCATGGGCATAGCTAGGATTTTTGTTAGGGGGGACATGCCTTTTGTTGGGGGGGGGGGCAGAACCTCAGTTTGCTATGTATTTTTATTGAGTTATATTGATTTAAGGGGGGCAGCTGCCCCTCCCTGCCCCCCGCACCCCCTTGCCTATGCCCATGCTTCATCCATCAAAATTTAGGAAATATTCCCTGAGAAAATTACATACTATTTTAGCACACAGAACAATCACAAAAAGCCATCTCTGGCTCTCCTCATTACTCCAAATATTTCCTCTACAAAAGGAGATATCTTGGGGAACACTTCCCCAATAGTTCTTTCGCTTTCAAATCTTGCCTTAAGGGCATATTTATGTATGAGTAGGGTGGGCCAGTGACCTAGATGCAAGAACTAAAGTATTTACCATCTCAAAAGAATGGTCAGACTGCCCAGGTAATGCAATCAGTAAAACATTATCAGGTATTCTGGCAGACAGAAGAGAAGCCTCATACTCCTATTTCTGTTGGAGACCACTTTACAGATGCAGAATGGTGGACTTCGGTTCCCAACGCAGTAGAAGATTCAGATGTTTTAAGGACCGCAGGGCCAAATACAAAAATCAGGAGGTTGTGCAACTGAATGCTTTGCCAATTTGTGGTTATCAGTAAGCTACAGTTTTTCCTCAGATCTGAAAAGAGGACAAAATATCAGTTAACTGGTTTAACTTGACCAGCGCTCTACCCCTGCCAAGATAAATGTACAACTTCCCATTTTTAAACAAGGGTTGCCCCAGGGCGTGCATAAAATGTCATTGTTAATCTGTCCCAAGACTTTTCATGCAGCTAAGATGAACAGTAGGGTGCCAGCCCTCCCTGGCTGTGCTTAGATCTGAGGACACCTTAGTAAGAGAGCACATAAAAAGATTAAAAATGGCAAATCCCTGTAGCAATTGAGTGCCCACCAACAGGTGTACTCTATGGTGCAGTTCCAGATAAGGAAATGCAACACCAATACCCCCGCTTCATCTGTTGGTAACTGCATTATTTGGAGGGATAGCTGAGGGGAGGAAGCCATTGAGAACCTTACAAAATATTGATTCATTTAGAATATTGTTGTGAAAAGTACTGAGAAATTCCTCTCAAGACATACATAAAATGGGGGAGCACTTTCATTCTGAGCACTTTAATCTTGCCCACTTAAGTGATCCATTACACATACTGATTATTGTGGGATTATTCCCATATACTGCAGTAACTCTGGATACTGGGTGGGAGTACCATAACTTCCCCTGATGGGAGTATATTTAGCTTGATTTGTTTCTGATTACCTGCACTAGTGCTATGCGCTCAGAGTGAAGTTGATATAAGCACATATTTGTGGGGCATGAGCAAAACTCCAGTTGAACTAAACTTCTGATATATAAAAGTTGAACTAAACTTCAAATATATGAAAGGATGTCACATAGAGGAGGGAGAAAGGTTGTTTTCTGCTGCTCCAGAGAAGCAGACACGGAGCAATGGATCCAAACTACAAGAAAGAAGATTCCACCTAAACATTAGGAAGAACTTCCTGACAGTAAGAGCTGTTCGACAGTGGAATTTGCTGCCAAGGAGTGTGGTGGAGTCTCCTTCTTTGGAGGTCTTTAAGCAGAGGCTTGACAACCATATGTCAGGAGTGCTCTGATGGTGTTTCCTGCTTGGCAGGGGGTTGGACTCGATGGCCCTTGTGGTCTCTTCCAACTCTATGATTCTATGATTCTATGATTCTGATAACATCTTAGAACTTGCTTCAATTTGCTGACTTGCTTTTTAGAGACATGAGCCTCCCCTGGCTTAGTAATCCAAGGAGTACTTTACCCTCCCATCTTTCTCTTGAAATGCCACACATTTGTCCTCACTTTTTATATATATATATAAAAGCCTTAACTCATGGAGCCTTTGCTCTAGCCATGACCCCAGTGAATAAAGTGAAGGCAATCTTTGAAGAAAGGATGGGATAGGATAGTGCTTTATTATTTAGTGTTGTGAGGTTCATTTATTGCTGCTGTCAGAGCAGAACTGCAGACCGGTGGCAAGTGAATTCATCACAGAAATGGTATTCAGGGGTGGTAGCTGCTAAATACTTCAGATCAAGTAGAACATCTGTGTTGAATTCAGAAAATGTATTCCTAACACTCTTAGGTCACTGCATCCAAAATGGTGGTAGTGAGCTTGAAATCTGGCATGTTCATTAGACTTTCTTGTGGTTCACACCATTTATTGTTCATTACATTAATGTATGCCCCACTCTTCCTCTCATCAATAGTTTTTTTAGACAGGCTGTCACTGTGCACTGAATAAATAGAGGAGAAGGCTTGAAATGGATTCAGCTAGCCAGCAGTGGATCTTCTCATTCTGACCTGATCTCTCCAGAATGGGCTATTCTCTTAATATTTTGCTATCTCGTTTGGAATTGCTATCTGATTGAAGAACAGTCATTTATAGATAAGACTAGTGGTAGATAGAAGAGTTTCAGTTTCATGGCTGGATAGTGGATTTTCACCACCCCCAAGCAATTTTCTACTTGCCAAAAATAATTAGCATGTTAGTACTCTGCTGCTGTACTAAGCCAGTCATTAAAGCAACAGAAGAAGGATGTATGTACAGCTTTTCTGGAAGCATTGATGGCTTGCCCTGCATAAAGAATCCAGAGAACCATAGTACACTTCAGGACTAAAAACAAGCATTTTGAAAATAGGCCCCAAGACTGTGGGTCCATTATTTCCTCTACACATTTCAATTTATTTACTTACTTATTTATCTACATTCCTTTCAGGTGTATGCAAAATATGAAAATGAAAGGAAATTGTTCAGACCTGGGGAGTAATAAGCTTATTCTAATTATTCTCCCTGCATCTGGGCAGAACAAAATCTAGCATCCACTGAGCCCCACTGGGACCAATTTGCAGGTGAGGTAAAATGCGTCCTCTCACAGCTGCTTGCCTTACCTGAGCAGACATAAAGTGGGAATTAGCAAAAAATGGAGAACATCTAAACTCCTGAGAAATAAGAAGTGGACATATGGAATATGGAAGCTAAACTTGGTTATCAAGAGCTCAGAGTTACTTATTTTGTCACCAAATCTCATCTTCCTCAGTTTAATTCTAACAGACAGGCAGTCTGGTATCCTAGTATATTCTAATGTCAAACTCAGTGTAGACTCTTATGTAGCCAGAACAGCACCAGCCACACACAGGAGGGAAGTATCAGCAGGCTCAGAGAAACCACAAGGTTTTCAGATATATTTTTTTTAAATGAGTAAATCCCCCTGTAAGAAGGGGGAAGAGCTCAGGGGCCACAGAAGGATAATTTCCTGAGATTTTTAATAAATGGAAAACTGGAGAGGGGCTGACTAGAATCCAGACAGATGCACTCCACTCCAGTTTTGTTGCAGGTCCCAACTGTAGATAAACATTATCACATGTCTAGTGTGGCAAATAATTTATAATAGTTATCCCATATATCTTCACAGCAGTTCTTTGAAGTAAGTCATGGTTAACTTAGCTTTACAGATGGGTAGAAATGTAGTGTTGGAGGATACCTAGTGTGCATAGTTGATAGGAAAACCTTGTCTGTCCATGCACATTGGACAGCCTGCAGCTAATAAATGGCCAACTCTGTTCAGTAGGGTTGCCTGATCTCAATCAGCAGAATACAGTAAAATTGCATCTTAGGCACATTTACTTTGTGCAATTTCAGCTATATGCAGTTGAAGGCAGGCTGGTTGAAATTGCACAAGTTAAATTCAAGCAAGCTAGAGACCTTAAAATCTCTCTTTGCACCAGGTCCACTTAAGGTTACTTGGTGGATAAAGAGTTTTTAAACTCTCTGCCTTGCTTGGGTGGCAAGGCCTTTTCAGTGTGCCTGCTTTGGAATGTGCTTACAAGAGCTCATAGGAATTCAGATGGGCCTGTGAGATCTTGCATGAGTATCCTAGAGCCATCTGAGTTCGCGTGCGAACTCACACAAGCATTTCACAGCTGGCCTTTCCTCACAAGCAAGGCAGAGAGCTCAAAAGCTCTTTATGCGCCAGGTAACCCAGGTGGAACCTGTGTATAACGAGCTCTTAAGCTCTCTGACTTGCTTGGGGGGGCAAGGCCTGCTCAGTACACCAGCTCTGGGATGCTTGTATGAGCTCAGAACAAGCTAATGGACAGGCTTGCTCTTAAGATTCTATAAATATTAAAGATAAAGTAACAGACATCATCACTGGGTGTGTGTGCAAGGGGAGCTGTGGAATAGGAGAGAGGAGGATGCGGTGTGAGGTGGTCTGTGTGCAAGGGAGAGTTTGAAAATGACAAAGGAATAGTTAGGTGAAATGGGTGATTAATTAAACAGAATTAAATTAATACACAAACACACATACGTGTAGTTATTGAAAACGGTAGATGGCAAGCATAATCTTAGGGCACATTTTCTGCTTTCAGTCTGACAGGAGAGAATGTCTCTTCTAAAATGATGTCATGCATCTAAAAAAGTAGGTGGGTTTGCTTTAGAACTATTGTTTTTACTCATATACAAATATAATAGATCAGCTGACAAAACATATGATTAATTATTTAACTGAGTGAGCTGTACCAATAAACTCACAATTTTCAGATGCTTGCTCTCTTAACAAAATCATCCAAGCTGCAGTCTTCTGCACATTTACCAAGGAATCAGCTCTATTGAATAAACATATGATTGCACTGTCAGTTATTAGGTTTTGCTTTTGGAACTAATAGTACATCTATGTGTAAATGTAACAGTAGAACAGCTAAACAGAAAGGCACCACATCCAATTTTCCATACCAGGAGGTGGCTTTTCAGTGAGGTGGTTTAGAATAGTTTCAGAACAGTGCCACTTTGCATATACAAATCATGCTCACTAATAGCTAATCTCTCAGTGCATGAGCTAAACTGGAAGAGAGAACTGATAATGCTTAGCTAGGGGTTTGAACCTGCTCACACTTCCACTTGCTGGCTTTGCTGCAGCTGCAAATGATAGTTTTTTTTTAAGGCTGCTAATAGGTTTTTCAAAGGCTGCATTTAACTGTTTTAATTGTTTCACTTTAATCACATTACATATTAATATTGTATTCTTCATTCTGTAAACTGTACAGAGAATGTATGTTGATGGGTGGTCATAAAAATAAGGTTGCTAAATAGAGAGAAACCTATTGAATATTGGGTGGTGACTTTTGATAACACGAGCAATAGCTAAAGCACTGTCTTCTAGAATCCTGCTGAGACTAAGGCAGCTGCTTTTCCACCTGCAATAACATTGCTTCTTGTTTCACTGCAACCCCAGCAGGTGTATCCAATTGGTATAAATTAGCTAAGGCACAACAGTAGACCTTTGCTTGATACAGCAGGAGTTCTGAAGCTGAAGTTTGCAAGGTAAGTGCTGCTTTTTCCTTGTTCTGCTCCCTGTGGCTTTTGAATTTAGTCACCTATAGGAAACCATCTGAAGCAATGCATACCATGTGGGTTCTCATAATAGTCAGTAGTGAGCAGGCTGCAGAGAGGGATGAGCTAGGGCATACAGCTCAAGTCATGCAAGACTCCTTGTATTTCATGGGCAAATATCATGGGTCAGGCTGTGCAGTCTTAATAGTCTACTTGACTGCAGCATATCTACACCTGAAGGACAATTGACAATGGTCCCCCATCCTGGTCCTGGGTTAGAGAAAGCATAAAAAACCCCTCATACTTAATGAGATGGAGAGTGGGCGGATGCAGACTCTCAGCTTCTGAATTGCCACACAATTATTACTATAACAGATGTACAGCACAAGAGGCATGTTTTTTAAATGCTACACTGAACATTTAAGTTGCACAGAGGGAAGGAAAAAGGTCAGAGGTTAGTGATGGCAGTGGAGGAGGAGATAGCATGAGGCTGTACTGATTCTAATTTAAGAGACTAGTGCTGAGGAGGGAGAAGGAATTGTACTATTGTCACCTGTGATTTATTGAGCCAGGTTTCTGAAATGATAAGTGTGAATGGGGGCTTTATTCCAATCAAGACCATGATCTGGATTGGAACCGTCCTGGCAGTCGGCCTGTTATTTATTCTTTAAAAATATAAACACATCTGCTAATATTGTAAATGGTACTGCATTTAGTCTGGCCCTTAAGATGATTTTGGATGGATATTAGATAGTCCTAGTTTAATAGCTCTATGAATAGTTAGGACAACAAAATGTTAATCCATGTTTGGAAGCGTGCCAGCTCTTTGTATAAGTTGCTGGAAGCATACAGCAGGTTAAATCTTTGTGCTTTGCTTGTGGGCTTTCTGGAGACTGTTGGCTGGCATCTGTTGGAAGAAACAGGGTGCTGGACTGGATAGACTTTTGGTCTAATCTTGCAGAGATCTTAGGTTCTTATGAAACAGTGAGCAGTGTTCCTCACTACTGTCTCTTTTCCTTCCTACTCTTTCTGCAATGCAAACTAAGGTGACATAAATAACAGCTAAAATGCACAAAATGCAGCTCATTTTTCATTTTTTGCTGGAAATTGGATCCTGACAATCTGAGCCAGATGCTGTTTCTCTCCAGTCTTAGTGGAGCTTTGTCCCTGGCTTGAGTGGATGATGTTGCCCTAAGCAGCTATTTGCTAAGTTTTGTTGATGAGATGCCTTGACTGCACATATTATTACACAATGAGTGTACTGAGTAGGGACATTAAATTGCCTTTAATTGGAGCAGCTTGACTTCTTCTGTTCCTTTTGGTTGCTCTGGCAACTAAAGGCAATTGAGTCCATGCCTGATAGTTAATGAGGGGACACTGCTATTCTCAATTCCTGATGAATCATTATAGCACTTCCGCATGTGCAACAAACTTTGGCGTGTATCATCTAAAAGCCATTCTTGATTATGACCTACAGTATCAGAATGTTCCCACCCTTTCCTCCATATTTTCTTGGGGTTATGGATCTGAATTTCACATAAAGGCCACCTGAGCTTTTATTTAAAACTGTCCCCTTATTCTGCAGCCTTATCACTGATCTTCACTTGCTGGCTCTGTCAAGCCTTTTTAAATTTTGATTTCCTCAAAATGTCCTCCAACATCACTGGTGCATAGGGTGCATAGGTAGAGGTGGGTGAATAGTCCTACAGAGGAAAGGTTGTGTGTTTTCAGTTTGCAAACTGAAAAGCTAACACATGCAGAACTCAAATCCATCCAGCAAATCAGTTTACATGTGGGCTAAACTGAGTTTGAATGCCAGAAAAGATTATAGAGGAAGGAAAGACCTGCCTTTCTTGAGCAGGCTAAAGACTGGTTAATTACCCAAAGCCACTAGAAGATACTGCTCCTGCTGGCTGATGTCTTCATGTATTTCTCCCTTCAAGTAACATTGTTGTTTCCCCTTTACTTTTTAGTTTTAATACAGGGATGGGGGACTTGTCATCCTCCAGGTGTTTTTGGACAGAGGCAGATTTAGAGGAGTGCAACTGGTTTGGCTGCATTGGGCGTCAAGCCAAGAAGGCACCTCAACACTGACAAATAACAGAAGCCGAGAGGTGGGAGAGGACACCAAATTTTGATGTCACAGTTTTAAAGCTCAAAGTCCTCCACTGTTCTGGACTACTGTTCCCATCATCCCTGGTCTTGCTTTTTGGGCTCATGGGTGTTGGATATTTGAAGGGCTACAGGTTCCCCATGCCTGTTTTAAAATAATATGTATAAGCTCCCATCAGGTACAGGCCTATGAATAGCTGACGGCCAAGGCAACACAGCACTGCTGGTCTAAAGACAACTCCTCCCTCTTGCATTGTTTAGAACTAGTAAGTTAAGAGACACTCCCAAAAAGGAAAGCTGAATATGTCTTTGTTCTGTGGCCACTAA